CAGTTCTTCCGACACCTGTAACGCTCGTCAGCATCAATGTCCCGTTTTTGGTGAGACAGGCTCAGGCATAGCCATCATACCTTCTTTTGACCAAGAAACTCTAGATTGTCATCAGCTTCTCGACGCAGATTATCAGAGAACCCAGAGCTCCGCCGCAGCAATCTCGCGGGGACAGCGGCAAAAAGTCTCATCCTACTGCCACCCAGCGTAGAACCGGAAAATGTCGATGAGGCACGAGATGTGATGGATTTGGTGTCACCCTCATCATCCTCGTAGTCTTCCAGATATAACTCGCTGGCGCTGGCGCCCCCGGATCCGCCGTCTATCAACAGAGTGTCGATATCGCTGAGGCCATTGCCGGGGTAGGCGCCCCCAGGGCCAGTATCGATTGCAAAGATATTGGCAAAGGTGAACATACGCACCAGTTCCCCATTGAGCAAGCTCTTTCGACCATTTTTGTGTGTTGCACTACTTGTACCTGCGCCCCAGCCCTGAGATCTTCGCGGGTCGAAGTCGTCAATATCTTCAAACTCCGCCGTGTCATCATCATCAAGGTTCAGTGCTGGAACACCATGCTCTTGGAAGCATTTTTGTATGTTCTGAATGTCGTCTTGCAAGGCAACAGTGAGGAGAAATAAGCCTTTATCTTCGATACCGCAGAAGCTAGCGATCGCTTCGATTAGATCCCTGGGAACCCTGGTCGATTCGAAGTACCCATTTTTCAGGTAGATTTCGAGACGGTTATGCTCAGTGGACAGAACAACGTTACCATCCTTAGAACGCCCCGATTTGCTTTCAGAGACAACCTTCACGGACCACTTTTGAATGACCCGTGTGGTAGAGAATGCTTGTAGTGACTTGAGCTTAGCCACCTTGTCCCTCTTGCCGTGTTCTTTTTTCGGGATGAGTCTGAGAACAATCTTTAGTAACCAGAGTCTTTCACTATCCATGGGTGACGCAGCCAACTCCTCGTTGGACGGCAGAGCAGTACTTACCTGGCTATGAACTCGGCTCTGGACCGCAGGTCATCCTGCCGAATCGGATCGGGTCGCAACAGTCCAACAGTCTCTGCAATGCTCGTGACCGCTCGTGTTAGTCGTCGTTTGTCCCCACCCAGTTTGCGAATCAGGAGTGGTATTTTGAGTATATCCTCGACTTGGAAAGCGAGCAAGGGCACGATTCCATAGAAACTCTCCAGCAAATGTGATCTGTCAGCAATGAACCACACGTCCGGCCTGTTGGCGCATCCAAGCATGTCCCACTGGTCCTCGTTGCTTGACTTATAGACTGGCCATATGCAATGTGTCTGAAGTGAGTCGATGGATGTCGTCGCCTCGTCCTTCTCTAGATGCTTCTCAATTTCAAGAAACAGAGCTTTGATGTAAGAGAGAGGGTCGCCGACAGTGAGCAACTTGGTCTCACGTACCAGGTCCGCAATGCCAGCGTCGGGAAGCAGGAAGAAATCACGGAACAGCCGCTGGCAAGATGGGTATACGTTCTTTAGAGCAACAAATCGTCGAAGGCATTCGGGGCCACTCCACAGGCAATCTTGCACCTTCACCCAGCGGGGTTCACCTCCAACTTTTTTATTCGGAATGCAGACAAGAGGCTTCTGGTCAAACGATTGCCTCACAACGTCCGGTAGTTCTGCGCATCGTGCTTGGATCTGTTCAAGCAGCAGAGCAGCACGGTCGATGACGGCTGCATCTTTGTCACCACTCAATGTTTCGAGGCATCGGAGATAGAAACAAACGTCACCCTCGACACCCAGGCCCAAGATCTTTAGTCTCTGCCAACGTGGGTCGAGAGGATCATCGACATCAACGAATGGCACCTGACCATTGGCCTGCTGAACAAGTTCTGAGATGGGTAGAAAGACCTCCCGCAGAGGTTTCTGCCCACCTCCCAGGCACTGCACTTGTGCTTCTTGCAGCGATTTTCTGACTCGTTCTCGAGATACCTGTCTTTCCTTTCTTGAATCATCTCGAGGACCACCTGCGTCGTCTTCGAGCCACCGCGAATAGTAGCCCCAGTTGTCTCTCAAGAGGACCAGAAAATCCTTGGACTTGAAATTCTGCATGATCAAGGCAAAGTGGCGAGATAGTCCAAAGGAGTGTGGTGATTGTCCGTCAGCCTGGGTGAGACGTGGCAGAATGGAGATTTTGGCAGCGTTCTCCAACCATTCCAGCCAGCTCGCTTGATCATCCTTTACAGCATCCAAATAGTGTGAATGTATAAATCCGATATCGTTCCGGCCTGCGAAGTACTGGCTCGCAGCAAACGGAGCCGCCCACGGCAGATATGCGCTTTCCGCACGGCAGCGACCAGACCCATCCGTTGTGGCAAACCAGATATATCTGACTTCGTAGTCATGCACCCTGGCGCGGTAGAGAAACACTGCTTGAGATAACAGATGCTCAAGGGACATGTTTTTCGCGTTGAATGAAGGCTGGGTATGCACATGAAGGATAAAATCGGCGATGGCATCTTGACCAAAGACCTTGAGTCCGAGCTGAAGATATAGTGATCGAGCCGTGGGGTTGTTGGCAGCATCTTCGCGTACCAGTCGAAATGCGAGACCCTCAGGCGCCATGCAATTTTCGGCTTCTTGAGGAAGGAAGATGGACTTTTCCTCGGCGGACACCCATCGTCCGTCATTGAGAGGAATGATTGCTAGCTTACGAAGCTGCTCGTGATGTTCAGTATCGAAAGAGAGCTTCAACAGGACTTCGGCGAGTCGTGTATGCCAATCGACGGATTTGGTCGTCTGAAACAATTCTGTGTTTTGTTTGATATACACATCTAAATGTTTCAAAAATATGGCTGCGGTCATCTTTGTAACGCCCAGTGCTTCCAGGTTATCGTGAAGGGATTCATCATAATGTTGGCACAGATATATCCGATCGTTCTTCGGGGATGAAGTCATTGGAACCCCTTGTCTGTCGCAAAAGTCCACAGGCACATATGTTAAGGCGGACGGCATCATCAATTCTTGGGCTCTGGACTTCAGGACCGGCTGTCGCGAGAGTGCTTGACAGATTTCCCGCCTGGCCGGTTCGAAGAAGTGATATTGGGTCATTTTGAAAGGAATGAACCTGGGCCAGATATAACACAACTGGCCGTGACTGTAGGCTCTAGTGACAGCAACAAATGCCTTGGCAAACTGACTCCGAAGAGCCTTGTTCCAAGGGGAGTCTGACAAGACATCCTCGCGACTGGCCGAAAGGAGAAAGTCTCCCTGAAGGAGGAACTAAAGGTGATGCGTGAGAATGCAACTTCATTCAAAGAAATATCCACATACCGTAAAGCCATAGTCTCGTATCGGAAGGAATGCATACACCTTTTGAGATATTAATGTCTGGTCTGTGATGTCCGGGAAGGCAAGTAGGATCTGAGACTGGTGTGCACCAGGACGCTTAGGTTCAACTGGTAGGTTCTGAGCGATGTGTGAGCTGATAAGGTATTTGGTAACTTCCCCATCCCGAGTCAACTCAATTGCTGTTTCGCCGTGGCTCGTGCCGACGCTTTTGCCGAATGTGGTCTGCCAGCCTGGGTTGCCGTCTTGAATCGTGATTGTTACTCTTTTCAAGCGACGGAGAAACATCAGCATGCGAGGGTCAAACTCTTTCAAGTCCGAGACCAGCTGGCTCTCGTCGTACTCTGGAGATAACTGCAAGATCATGGATGTCACGGACGGCGTGGCTGGCTCTGGGAAAGATTCCCAGATGGGCGCAATCATGCCTAAGACCTGTCTCTTGTCGAATTTAAAGGTGTAGCTGTTGGACGAAATCCAGACAACGTCGGCAGCTTTAAAGACCGACTTGAAACCAATCCCTTTCTCTCCGACGTAGGCGGTAGCGCGGTCGGCGCCAGCTTTGGTACTGCTGCCCACTCTGCAGATGGCCTCAACATTCTTCTCACTGAAGCCTTTCTCATTACAGTCGATCCTCAGACGTCGATTCTGGTATGTTAGGGAGATACTAGGTTCAGCCACGTCATACTCGTTGTCATCGGCATTCTGTATGAGCTCGAGGAGGAAATGGGTGGACTTCTGGTACAATTCATCTGCGAGACTGGGGTATGGTTAGACGTGACTCAAGGTACAAGCACAGCAAGGAAATGGCCTATTCACGTGTGAAGAGCATTCTGGAGGTTCTCGACATTTCGGCTCGTTGCACTGGTGTCGTCCAGTCCGGCTTCTTTCCTGATGGTGTGGATATGGTGTCGAGCCTTTTGCACAGCCTGATCTTGGTTCAGCTGTACCATTGTGGGAAGTCGCCGAAAGTATAGAGCTGTGCAGGTTGACGACAACTTGAAGGAGAGAACGGGCTTTTGTAGCAACCGACGGACCCAAGCAAATCACACCCCACGAAGTGTGTTGACTCGGGCACAGCAAGGCAGAATGCGAGTTAGCCATACCATGCCATACCTTAGTCTAGCCAAGACAGCGGAAAGGCTGAGCAAGGCAACCCATTTTCATCAGTGTCGGACAAACCATGTCCTCCAACCCGATGCATCTTGAGCGGTCGTCCAAGGACTAGCCGGTGGAGGACAACATGTATTCTTTAGGGCGCGTGGCTGCCTGGAGGCTACCGATTCCCCGTGCCAGCGAACCTCGAGTGGGACTGCGTATGCCTCCACTCTGAAGCTTGTAGCGGGTACTCCAGACTGGTTGCGCACACATCTCGCTCGGGAGTTGCATCCCAAGGCGAGTATACGCGACATGACACGAAGCCAATCAGCGCAGGTGTTTCGTCTTGACCGGTTTGTTGAAAGAAGGAAGTTGGAAAGGTTCGAAGTCAAACATCTCGGCAACATCGGATTGTACGGCACGTGATGGCGAAATCGGATTTATATTTCTCCGAAGTTCCTCGCCAAGCATCGGATCAAATCGTGCGTATCTTCATCTTCCTCGTTGACACAGATGATGCGGGACATAAGATCGAGATACACCCATTGTATCACCACGGGACGTGCGGCAGAGGAGCCACCAGGCAAGAATGGTGACAGAGTGGCATCCTTGCGGTCTCCTAAACAATTCCCCTACCCATTCCTATTCGGTTATCATCCTCAACCAGCCCATCAACAAGCACGCCCTGAACGCCGTTATCGGGTCAGCCTCGCTGCTTGTATGTGCCGACGGCGGCGCCAACAGGCTTTATAATTACGACAAGGCTGCGCAGAATGGAATGTCTAGATTGAAGCGCCGTGTTCCGGATGCCGTCATAGGGGATCTGGACTCCCTGACTGAGTCGGTCGGAGAGCATTATCGCTCTCTAGGGTCCCAAGTTATCAAGGACCCAGATCAGTACTCTACAGACTTCACAAAGTGCCTCAGATGGATTCGCGACTGGGCGATATCAAAGCACGAACGTGGCGCATCCGAGCATGGCGCAGAGTCACAGCCTATCATGGATGTCGTGGTCCTGGGGGGACTCGGAGGTCGAGTAGATCAAGGGTTTTCACAAGTCCACCACCTTTTTATGGCCGAGAACCACCCAGCACTCCTGAGGGGCCGCATATATCTATTGTCGGAACAGAGTTTGTCATTTGTTCTAGCTGATGGCCGCAATCTCATCCACCTCGAACCGGGTTATTTTGCGGAGAATGTGGGAATCCTGCCTGTCCTCGGCCGCACATTCCTCACTACCAAGGGCCTTGAGTGGGACGTTGAACAATGGCCCACCGAGTTTGGTGGCCAAGTGAGTACCAGTAACCACATACGATCCTCTAAAATCGACATTGCCTTCGAGGGTCCCAGACCGTTGTTCACTCTGGAACTGGACCAACGTCTGGCGGCTACCTGCGAATGAGTCTTCCATCGCCGATAGAAACTGGCGCTCTTGTAACAAGCCTGTCGCAGACGGAAATCGATCCTTTGTCGCCGATGGAGGCTTTCTTCAGACTGCCTAGTGACCAAAACCCGAAGGTGGCTGTCGGGTTCATGCTCGGATGCTGTTTGCATGGCAAGCTCGCCTGTCCGCCTCTGCTTCAAAGCTGCAGGGTTCTTGGACTCTTTGGTAGTCTGACGCATCGGATGAAAGCTCGAAACCACCTGCCACGATGGTGGCTCTGATGTAACCAGCGCTGAACTGAGTGGCGCAATTGCTTCGCGGAGTACCCAGGCCAGGGTCGGCTGCTGAGTGACGATGCAAGGGGTAAAGGCTCATGTCCTATGAGGCCAAGGTGGCCAATCAGCCTGGCTTCTTTGTGCGAAAGGGGGAGTGCTTGTGCGTTGACGGAAAGCTGCCAGCTGCCTCTTTCCCACACGTTACCTGGGTAGGACGCGATTTCTTGGGGCCGTACCAGTCAACATCGCTTAAATTGAGTCTTCTTGCTCGTGGCGCGTGGCGCCCCGACCTCTCAGCACGACTGAGGGAAGGATTGTAGTGATCGGGTCCTAATTTGAGTCCTTTAGTATTGGGGTTCTTCTCCACGGGAGGTTGAATAATAGGGCCACAAGAAAATCCATTGGGAATACCATCGTGTTGATCATCTTCGCGCAGATCATAATTGAGGACCAGGTTCTTGATGCGTTGTTGTTCCTCCCTTTCGGCAGCTTGCTGCGATTTCATGGAAACGGCGAAGCTCGAGTCCGACGGAAGCTCAATTGTCTTTGTCTAAAATATTGTTAGCAACAGCGATCATCTAGATCCCCACCTATACCACCACTCAAAGGAGGGTCAATGGGGGTTACTTGCTTGTTGTCGATTTCCCTTCTTTGTCATCAAGGAGAATGCCATCGTATTGGATTCGGCTTGTTGAGCAGGACTCGGTTCGTCCTCATTCGGCTCGATTGGCGCTCGTTGGATCTTACGGATGGGTAAAGGTACGTCGAAATGAGTCTTGCGCTCGAACTTCCGCGAGTCCAGGCTTTCGGCCATCATCTTTTCGAACGCGCGGTCAAACTCGGCCTCGACTTCTGGATCCAAATGTTCCTCTTGACGCAAGACAACAATCTGTTCTTCTTCATCGGAGTCAATGTCTTCTTTCTCTTCACCTGTGTCCTCTTCTGCTGCTGCTGCCTTCTCCAAGTCAGAAGTTGATCTCGGCTCAGACCGATACAGTGCTTACCTCGCCTTCTTCATCTGATGATCGCGCGATTTCAGCGTCAAGTTCAACATCACCTTCACCAAGTCCGTCTTCGGAAGCAGTGTCTTCAATGTCTTCTGCTTGCTCCGCACTTTTTTCCGCCCCTTGCTGCCTGTAGTTCGCGCTTACAGCTTCAGCAAATAGTTTGGCCGCTTCGCCGAGCTCAGTGACTAGCTTCCAGTTCGGGCGGACAAGGGAGTAAGTGTCCTGCACTAGAAACTCAATTTCCATGGGCAGGGGATCCTTTGTGGCCATGTAGTACTGAAAGAAAGTCAAAAAGAAATCGAGCTTCTTGCGGGAGCTACCTCTGTCAAAACAGATGCCACAAGTGTCGAGGAGAGTGCATATCAGTCGGATCCGGAAGAACTCATCGGGAGGATCAAAGGGTGTGAAGTTCCCAGGCTGAGGTGTTCCACCTTCATGGCCAAATGTCACGATCCGATACAATGTATCGAACACCACGGTGGAGTCGATCATCTTGTAGTTGTAGAGTTCGCCCAGGTATTTGACTTCAGCCACTCTTCGCTGATTGAACTTGAAATCGTTCTGCTCCAGACCCAGAGTAATTTGTTCCAAGACATTGTCTATAATGCCAACGGCAAAGTCTTGATGATATCGAAAAAGAGCCTGCAGAAGAACAGCCAAGAGATGGATGTTGCTGAACTTGACTTTCCCCGGCTTGCTGAAAATCTTCTCTAGCATCTGGACAACCTCCTTCTCTTCCCAATGGAGTTTTCGAATGGTCTTGAGCACCTTCATGTAGTTTCGCTTAGTCATGTCCACATATACCAGTTGTCGGACAAAGAGTTCCGTTGGCGTACGCTCTTTTTGTTGGATGGCAGCGCGCTGAGGAGGGTCGACATAGTACAACGCGTTTTCAATAAGCATACGCTCTTGGGTCCCCATGTGCTGTGCAGATTTCTTGCGGTTCAACGTCTCAAGGAAAGACGACATTCGAGGAGATGTCTCGGGGTTGCGCAGGAGATATCGACCGCAGTTTTCGAGCAGATGGGCAATGATCTCAATGTTCATCCTCGAAAAGTCGTCCAAACTGACTTTGAAACAGTGGAAAATGACGTGCTCTGGGACGATGCCAAACTTGGTGAGTTCTGCCAGATATCGGATGTTGGCCATGCGAATTTGCCCCAGGAAATCTTTAGATTTTCGTCTCTGAAGGCTTCGAAATTCGTCATCAAGATGCGAGATTAGACCCTGCACGACATCAGGCATATACTGCCCAAGAGTGGCGGCAAGTCGTGCATACAAAGGTAGTAGATCTAGTCGACCTTTGGGGACTTCCTGGATGGTCTTGACTAGACGATTTCGGGAGGCTTTGGAGTTGAGGAAGCAGAAGTCCAAAGCAACCTGGTCGACCATATCCTTGGTTTGCAGTTCTGGCAGGCGCAAAAGGATGGCATCGACTTGAGCCCCAACAGTCTTATTCGTGATGGCGGTAGACTGCTCTTCGTTCTCCAGAGGCTTATTCGTCCCGCCCTCAGCGGATGTGGCGGCAGCTTCACCACGTTCATCTGTTTCTGGTTTCTTTTTTGAATCCTCCAAAAGAATTCCCGGCACTCGACCCTTGAGATCAACCAAGTTCTCGTAGAAACGACGTTCTTCTTCGTCTTCCCAGATGCCAGCGCCCTCTCCTTGACCTTTGAGGTAGTCGCCTGTCTTGATCATCCCCACGCTCCCTGAAGTAGCAGTCTCGGCGCTGTCTTTCTCTTCGAGATCTGGCATTTCTTGTCCGAGGACATCACAAAGGACTTGTGCATTTGCAACTAATTTCTCTTGGGCTTTGGCCTGCTTCTCGAAATTTGCTTGTCTGTCTTCGAAAATTTCGCCGCTTTTGACATAAGCCTCTGCATTTCGGCGGCTTTGATTGTTCAGAGATCTCTGGTCTCGAATGACGTGGGTTTTGACTGTAGTCAAATATCGTTCTAGGACGTTAATGAATCTCTGTCGGATGGGTTGAGGGATAATGGGCGCGTCTTCCTCAGGGGGCCCAGAGGAGCCCTCGCCATCTTTGACTTGCTCGACAATCTGACCGTCTGCGTCAACTGTTTTTCGGCCTTCCTCCGACGGTGGTTTGAGTCCCAGAACATCCCAGGCAAAATTCTTCACAAAAAGAACAGCAAGACTGAGGTTAACATGCTCGGGATCATGGCCTAACAAATCCTTCAGAACTTCCAGGGGAAATGGATCCTGCTCAACATTCGTGTCGGATCGAACACCATTTGTGCCCGCCTTCGGCTTGGATTCGGGTTGTGAAGGCGCATCTTTGCCCCGGGTTGTAGCTTCATCTGGTCGATCCGCATCATCCAGGCTTCGAAGAATGCCACATAGCCAGAATTCGGTGACGACGCGAAGGAGAACTCGGTGTCGAACTAGACGCTCTTTCTCTTCCCGTTCGCGGACTTCCTGGCTCCACAATTTCACCTGAGCCTTGTCAGGAGTTGTCAAGCCCTTGCCCAGAAGCCATGCCAGCTGCTTGGTGAATTCGAGGGGTCCAAATCTCTGGTGTAGAGCGCTGACAACCTCGACACCCGCGGCAATCTCACTCGCAGTCTTCAGTCTACCTAAGCCTTCGGCTGTGGCAGCTATGATCTCGGAGAGGTATTTTTGTAGGGATAACGTGCGGATCTCGGACAGAAAGGTGTCTTGTGCAGCAGACGATAACCCAGTTCGGAGCCGTTTAATAAACGCCGTGTTTTTCTTCAGAGACGAATCGAGCGAGTTTGCTGTTTCGTAGACATCTGCGATAGCACGGCAGTTAGTATCGGCGCCATTCCGTCGAGAGATGGATGCGTACCTTTTGCGCCTGCCCAGACGCGTAAATTTAAGTCACGTAGTTCTCCTGCGTTTGACTTATTAGTTCACCATCTCCCAAATCAACGACAGGGTGAGCATACTCTTGCGCTTGCGGTCCATGACGGCCCGCGGTTTTGTGAAGAGGATCCTGACGCTCGCATGACGACAGGATGAGATGCAGAGGAGCTGCAGGAATCCTGCCTTGGAGATCGAACGGTAGATGTCACTACGCGTTCGTCACTGTCGGATTGCGCACCAGACGGGTGAGTGAATGAATGACCGATTCACTTTCCAGGGATATCCAGTTGGAGGGGCAATAATATTATGTTTTCACCCAAGCCTGCATCGGGTGTAGCTAGAGCCCGCCGTGATGATGGGTGCCAAGAGCCTTCACCAGCCCTGGGCAATCCAGCGAACCAGCCAGCGACGTCCCTGCACAATGGGGGGAATCAAGCTGAAGCAGCCTTGCAGGGGGTTAATTGGGGCTGGTGTGACGCTGGACATTGCACTGACTTTACTCGGGTACTGTTGCTTCTTGCTCATTATGATTCTATCTGCCACTTTATGCACTTCATGACAGTCATGCACACATGGGTATTCCCTTCTACTTAGACCTGTTCCTCAAACACCTTTGCTTTTTGTGCGGCCAATTTGCTTTTTCGTGCACGTGCAGCTTCCTGATCAGCCACAGGCTTTCCATTCTTTCCATCGTCTCCCTTTGGACGCTTCCGCGAACCAGACTGAGGGCCTTTTGTGCTAGCTGCTTTTCGCTTGCGCTTCTGCCCTTGTTGGGTATCGTCTTCCAAAGATTCTGTTTCCTGTGTCGCTGCAATTATATCATCATGCTCGGTCCACAGGTCGTCCGCCAACCATATTGGCACTGCGAACGAAGATTGGCCTTTTATGTGTATTCCTCTTACATTCCTCCAACCTTTGACAACATGCTTTTCAATCAGTTTGGACACAATGGTTGAGATATTTTCTGACAGCTGCTCAGGCTTGAATGAGGACAGGCCGGCACGAACAGCAACGAGTGTACCAGGTCGCAGGCTGACAGGCACCGCATTGACCGCTTTTTCAATTTCTCTAGCGAGCGCTGATGGTGAGATAGGAGCAGCAGCACCGTCTTCCTTTGAATTTTTGGGCTTAGTTGTCTTGTCCCTCCTTGGGTCTGCGATTATAATCGGGATGGGCCGTTTGGAGGTTGCCTTGTAGAAGACTTTGCCTAGAATTGCTGGTAGTCGAGTGACGATGCGATCGTCGGCGAGAAAGAGGTCGTGTTCAGAGAGCAGTTCCCGTAGTTGTTCGAAAGTCTTGTACCTCGCTTTGAGCTTGGTGATTCCGATAATTCGAGTGATGCGGGACTTGAGATGGTCAGGAAATGCAGGATCTGCCACCACGTTTTTCACTGCTCTCTGGGGATCGGTGGTGATGAGACATATCCGAAGGTCTCGAGATGTGTTGAGCGGATGCGGGACGGTAATTTTGCTAGGCTTCAGACGGTGTTTATCCACGATATGTTGTTTTGTGGTGAGGGTGAGCCAAATCGGCGCTGTCGTTTCGTCGGGCCCATCCTCTTCTGAATCCGAGCTGCTGGCAGCAAGGAGACTCTTTTTCGACGAGGCCTGCTGTAAGTGTTTGGTTTCTGCTTGAATGTGCTGCAACAAGGCACGAGAGGCTTTGAGGGTCTAGAGGGGAATGCATTAGCAAAACCGGTTCCGTACATGCGGCCAGTGCATAAATACCTGTTCGGGATCGAGCTGGTAGGGAGTTTGTTGGGGCTCCTTGGAAGTGACAGTGGTCGTGACCTTCGCTACAGTAGCCATCGTACAAGTGGCGTTGTGTCAATATGTGTATTGATTGAGAGTAGAAGTCTTTGAGTTGCGACAATGTACTCTCCTTTCAACAGGCGTGTCGAGAAAAAAAGTTTCATGAAAGCCCTTGATCCACCAGCTTTGCTCCTGGCAAGTCGCAGTGTGGGGAAAAATTCGAATTTCGCTCGGCTGACCTTCTTCGATCTGCATGCACTTTGAGCTAATATCCAAAGACGCGGTGCAGTCTGACAAGAAAATGAATGCCCGCAGGTGCTTGCTCTGACTTGTTTACTCCGAGTACTGGCCAATGACAAGGGTATCTATTCTGTCCCTAGTTCTGGTAGCATCTTAACCCTCTATTGACTCTATTAGCTATATCTAACCTAGAGACGATATCGTAGCTGTTCAGGGACTACTCCAATATTTCAAATGGTTCTTTATTCTTTCGTCAGACCGTTGCACTTATTTCCGAATCTGGCCTCCCGACTCTAATATTAATCAATTATGATGCGTCGCCAACTTTCTCCCCTTGGTCATCCCGGCACAACCGATGAGCCGGACGGAGATGGCCAATGCAGAAAAGAAAGGTTCTTTGGGATCTCTCACGTAGCTGTGGTGGTCTTCTTCAGCAATGGGTACAGAGGTCTATCCTATCCTACGTCGACGACACACAGTTGGTGCAGTATCACTATGAGCGGTAGAAGTCTTCTCACATCGCACGGATACGTAGTAGATGCCGCATAGGTACATTTACATGCAGGTCGGTGTACGATGAGGGCAAACATGCAATGTAACTCTAGCGTAGAAAGTAGCCAACGACTTATCTGCCAGAATATGTAAGGCCATTTTCGCACACTTACTTTCCTTCCCACCTCAATAATACAATTGACTTGAAAGCTCCACAGTCTCGAGACGGTGGTATTGGGCCGACGGTGAGCAAATCTCTCGAGGATCGGTGCCGACGCGCTCCTCGTGCGTGTCATGAGCAGTTAGTGGCGTCTGAAAAATGCTGGCGCGCCAGAACGTCGACTCGGGCCACTCCACATCTACCATTCGGGTGTCGTTTCTCCAATCCACATCGCGTGAGTTGCCCTCGATCCATCCATTCCAGCACCTCCAGCACCACCAGCACCTTTGCAAATGTCCAACCTCTCTTGACCTTTGACCTCTTGCGTGGCCAGCTGCATTCTTGACGTGGTGTTCTTCTTCCTTGCTCTCGTTTACTCTTCAGCTGAACCTCTCATGAGCAGATACATCCCGCTGAACCCCGTCCCTCTGCCGAGGACGCGCTTTTGAGCTGGTCAATCTACCCCCGGCGACCGCGCCTCCCCAGTAGCTGGACTACGTGACGCCTGAAGACCATGGCTCCCTCGATCACTTTCGCAGAGACGGTCATGTCACCCTCTCCAGGCCCCAAGAGATCAGCAACCTCACTGCTTCCTGCCTTCGAACCACTATCTTCGTCACCAGCCTTACCGAGACCCCTCAAGCGAAACCGAGATGCACTCGACGAGAGCACGACCTACCCTACACCCGTCCCTACTTCTTCCACCGCTATTTTATCTTCCTCGCCAGTACATGTAGCCAAATCCCGGCCCAGCCTTCACAGGACTTCTTCTACCCTTGCTGAACGTACTCCTCTCGGTGCCGTACCCTCAATCCAATTACAAGCCGACGGCAAGGTAACGCGTATGGGAAGATCCAGCGCTTCTTGCGACTATCAATTCTCAGCAAATCGTCTCATATCCAGGGTTCACGTGGAGGCTTGCTACAAAGCTGCGGGTTCGCGTCTGGAGCGTGATCGTGTGGAAATCACGTGTACTGGTTGGAATGGTATTAAGATACACTGCAAGGGTCAGGTGTACGAGGTTAAGAAGGGAGAGACGTTTTCGTCCGATATTAGGGACTCGGAAATCATGATTGACGTTCATGACAGTCGCGTCGTGGTGGATTGGCCTCCGAAACCTCACCTCGGCGCCTTCTCGTCTGAAGACGAGGAGGATGCTTCTCCTGCGAAGCGCAAGCGCGCCATGTTGCGCCATTCAACACCACCCAGCCCAAGTCCAATGCAAGTTCGACGACGACTTTCTTCTCCCATATCCCCGTCTCCTGCCGTACAGGCCGTGATGCCTTCTTCACCGCCACTCCCTCCAGCTACCGTCGAAATATATGAAGACCCTGAATCGACCAACGAAAGCAGTGGAACGGTCACCGGGACTGAAGTGTCACAGTCAACACAGGCACTGTCGCAGAACTGTGGACTCGCGGGAACCACTCAGAACAGTGCTTCGTTGTCTGCTGAAGAATTTTCCGACAACGACGAAGAGAATGATCCCATCATTCACTCTTTCGGACCCTTTGGTGCAAACCTACTGCCACGTATGGCATCAGTCTCCGCTGGAGATTCGCACCACCCAAGTGATTCTGCAACGAGTACACGATCCTCCCACACAGAACCCCTTCCTCCCAGCGAAGCTCTGAGCTCATCGAAAAAGAAAGATCCGGAATTTGACGCGCAAGGCCACATTATCAATCAACTCGCGTTTTCGAGATTGTCCTCGACTCCGTTGTCCACCATTTTAAGCCATCTTCCCCGCGAGGCTGGTGTTTTGTCCCTCCATGAAATCAGAAAGCTCATCCGTGAAACAGCGTGTATTGGCGAGGTTGCAAGAGAAGGCAAAGACGCCGCGGGTAAACCCCTGGAAAGCGAATTTTATTACATCCCAGATCAAGATGAAGATGAGAAGAGAAAGGAAGCTGTGGTCAATGATTTGCGAAAGCCGGGCCTACGAGCTTGTCGCAAACAGCACAAGGTAATCTCTCCCATTCCACGACCTACCGGCAGAACAGGACTGACGTGCTATAGCAATATTTCTGGCGGAAGCCCAAATAGTCGATGTCTAGACATTGTTCATGCAAAGTCGTCAGGCGATGATGAAGAAGCGGAATAGCTTTGTGAGCGCGCTGCCGGTCTACCGAGTATGATTTCTTTCTTATTGTGTCGTTTTTGGTTGCATGTCTGTGCAACCGTCTCTCTGTACGGGACAGGCTGTCGTCCCTTGTCTAGCGTTCAGCGTCATGCATAGCGAAAGGAAATCAGACATCATCAGCGTCTTTCATCTCTGATCGGAAAACTGGGTTTTGTTGTCAATCATACCACTGTGCAGGACAAAGCCACAATCAGCTCTGATGGATGAAACTAAGAGCACGTAGGGCAAATATGGTCGTGCAGATGCAATGCAGAATGTATCTTAAACATGTTTCCTTTTCGATCATGTTACTGTGCCTGCGCTTAGACTCGGCTTCGGAGAAAGTCTCCCGACATCGGAATGCCAAATGCTTATATTCGGGAGAAACTCGCGTAAACCCTAGAGATCCCGAGGTCGAAGCTTTGAGCGGCGCAGGTCATTCGAAGACGTCAATCACTGAATTGAAGACTGCGACGAAGAATTCCATCAACACGACATTACTTGGTCTTCCAGCGTCAACTCGAGCTCTCCTTGATTCTGCTCGTCCAGCCGGAGAGACGCACTCTATAGACATGCTATCGACAGCTGGACAATCCGCCCTGCGGGCAGTCCGCGCCCGCCCTCCTTCCCACACCCTTCTAAACCAGTTCCAATCGTCATCCCTCGCACGACTACTCTCCACACTCGCCATTCTTGAGCAACGCGACGGCAAACTCAACAGCGGTTCATTAGGAGCAATCACAGCTGGGGCAAAGCTCGGAGGTTCTGTACATGGCTTTGTGGCCGGAAAATCAGCCAAGGCCGTCGCACAAGAAGCGTCCAAAATCAAAGGCCTAGAGAAGGTCATCGCGGTGGAGAATGAGGCATATGACCGAGGGCTACCCGAGAACTGGGCACCGCTGCTGGTGGAGAATATCAAGAAGGGCGGCTACACGCATGTGATTGCAGCGCATTCCGCGTTTGGCAAGAGTCTACTCCCTCGAGTGGCGGCGTTGTTGGACGTGCAGCAGATTTCGGACGTGATGGGTATTGAGGGAGAAGACAGTGAGTTTTACAACCCCGGAAAGAAGGCATTTTATGCTGATGTGGTACAGCCTTTGTCCGACCTATTTACGCAGGCAACGCGATCCTCACCGTCCAGAGCAGCGACCCTACCAAACTACTAACAGTGCGCCAAACATCTTTTGCTCCTGCCGAAACCGAAGGCGGCTCCGCCAGCGTCGAAGAGGGCGCAGACACCAAGGTTGAATCGTCCACGGAATGGATTTCTGAAAACCTGACCAAATCGGATCGTCCTGAACTCGCTTCGGCTGAGAAGGTTGTCTCAGGTGGCCGGGGTTTGAAATCCAAAGAAGAATTTGACCGATTGATGCCTCCTCTGGCAGATGCGTTGGGCGCGGCCATCGGGGCTTCGAGAGCTGCGGTGGACAGTGGCTTTGCAGACAACAGTTTGCAGGTGGGCCAAACCGGCAAGAATGTCGCACCTCAACTCTATTTGGCCGTGGGAATCTCTGGCGCCATCCAACATCTTGCGGGCATGAAGGATAGCAAAGTCATTGCATGTATCAACAAGGACCCGGATGCGCCTATCTTTCAAGTGGCGGACGTGGGATTGGTCGGGGATCTGTTCGAGAGGGTCCCTGAGTTGACGGAGAAACTAAAGTCCCAATGATGTACAAGTGTTGGTATGTTCGAGGCGAGGAGTCCATGACGGCATCCTTCCTACTGCTATTGGTTTGGAGGCTAGCGTACATATATATGTGGCGGTGGGATATAGTACTGTGTAGGTACCACAGTACAAGTACAAGTAAAAAGCAGCCCAGCATATTATTTCCCTCTTGGCTTTCCCCTGGTTTACAATATGCATAAAATCTCTCACACACCCAAATCCATGGAGCCAAGATTTAAGGCTCGAGACAATCTAACGACATTGAGAGATAATCAGACGAGCGGCAGTGCACAACACCTGAAAGCGCCAAAAAAGCTTTATGCATCTGGAGCTTTTGGTGTCATTAGAAGCACGAAGTTATCAGGTGACATTGAGTGACTTTTAGTGGGTGATATTAAATCGAGTGGTCTGACAGCTTCGGTATTACCAGACACACCAGAGACACGCACGCGGGCCATGCACCCCAAGGTTAGAATTCGGGGAATATCACCAACTCCGTCCTTGTCACAAGCCTTGTGCAGCGATAATTTTTTTGGCGGTTTTGTTTTCGCTCTCGGTGAAGCCGAATTGGATTGTTCTAGGTAATACCCTACATAGCGACCAGATACACGGTTTCATGGAGACGGGAAGATATCCATCCCTCGAACACGAAGAGTGAGGAGCAGGGAGTACGGCGACCGGAGCAGCCCGCAACCACTCCCGACCTTGTCAGGGTGGCTTGCACTTAGTTAACATGAGAAACTCGGTAGAGCGCATGACTCGTGAGTAACTCGTACCCCGGACTAGCTTCGCAGCCAATGGGAAGTGACAAACAAAGCTTAAAGCCAGATCTCATTATGTAATCACCCTTAGTGTAAGGCCAGGACTCCAGGCAGCCGAGGATCCTACGAGGCTGCGTCGGACCCTTTCGCTGGAGTGTTTGTAAAATCAGCTCACCTCGTGCATGTGATCAAGGCTGCGCGTCAACTCACCCTCCGGGCGGAAGGGCGAATGCGCGGTAGCGATGTAACACCTACTTTTATTCTATGACCAGAATTGATTGATTCTTGCTGCCTGGAACCCCGCGCCACCCTTGTGTCGGTGCTGGTACCGACATAACCTTGATCACAAAACTTAGCATGACGCCAATTGCCGAAAGGATAACGAGCCGCGAGGTCAATGACAAGGTCATCCAGACCTCAGTGCGGAAGGCGTGACACTCTCTACTTGTACATCGGGGCTATTGTGTTGTACCTGCGCTCAAGGTCTGCATAGACTTCGAGATTCGAGATTCCCGAGCCTGCATGTAGCCAGCCAGCCAGATACCAAGAGAGCCCAACATGCGGGCGAGTGTCGGAGGTCAACCCTTTTTTTGGCACGCGAAAAACACTAAGTTACCCGTTGCAGCGGGGAGAGGAGATTCGGAGACTTCGCTTATTTAGAGGGAAACCAAGAATGAAAAGAGGCAGAAAAAATTGGGTGGTCTTGTTGCAATTTTCGACCTTGGGAGAAGGGAGAAGAAGCCCATCAATCAGATGCCAGCGCGGAATACGTCCGGTCACCGTTGGAATGCACGTTTGGTGGAATGGGACGGAGCCTGACGTACGAGGAAGAATTTTCCTCTCCCCGTTCAGGTATGGCACTTCAGATTGAACAATCCCATTCCGTTCATCCGCCCATGGTTCAGATCCTCCAGCCTGGTCATCCTGGTCGTTCTGGTCGAATCGTTCAACTCGTGGGAGGGACCCACACCGGACTTGTAGAACCAGGTTAAGTTCAGGGTCCCAGCGAGTCTTTACACGGTATTACGAGGATCGCTTTTAGGTTTTCGGCTCCTCTCCACCACTGTTTTCCTCGGCCGGGAACAGGCTGGCAAACTCGTTGGAGTCAGTAACCAAAGGGCAAAGGGCCACGGTGTCGACATTCAGACTGTTGGAGGTGCAGGTTCAGAAGAGGACAGACTATCCTGGGGAATTCCCAGTTGATGGCAAACCAACATTGGTCGAAACCCGATAATTGGAAGGAAGCGTTGGGCCGCGAGACTAGTTTTGTGGGACGAGATCCACGAACCCTACTTGTACAAGTACGAGGCGATGCACCCGCATCCTGAACTTGGTGTACTTGTATCCCAAGTAATTGTATTGTGCTGCTGTCCAACACATATCGACAGACTGCGCATCGCAAGTCACAATGACCGCGGCCCCGAGAAAAATGACACTCCGTTGAGCAATCCCGCATTTCTAACACAGTTTGAAGCTTCAGGAAGCATCTCGGCTCCGTACTGAGTGATATTTTGGCTGTGTCTTTCGTCCACGCGCTCCCTCCCTAAGCTCCCTCCGGTCCTTCTCGCTTCCGATTAAAGGGTCTAGATTCTCTGTGATGACGAACACAAGTGATCTGGAGAGGCGAAGTGTCGAGGAACAATGCCCGTCGTGGTTCTAGGTGGTGGTATCGCAAACCGCCAGGTTGTCGATGCCAAGGAATCGGCATGTGTCGCCTCGCACAATCCCTGCAATGTGGGATGCCCCCAGGCTCAGCACAGCGCTGCAGATACTGCACTTACAGAGCCGTGCAGGACGGGATACAGTCTTGTGACCATTCTAGGAGGTTCGATAGAATAATGGCTCGCAATATGTTTGGGACCCAAAAGGTACTGTACTTGGGTCGAGGGGGCTGAGGGGAGTAAACCGGAACGTGATGTTGTGCCATTTTATTCTGGAGAGGCGGCATGTCCCGTACCCACAGCACGAGATTTGTAGCCGGGCCATGGCCCCATGCAGCCTAGTCACTTGCCACCATCCATACCAATGGTGTCCATTTCATACAAGAGGCTCAAGGCTTGCCTGGGAGGGCAGAGAGAGAATAAAAAAAAGGGAGCGAAATGTTTAAGAGTCGGACATCCCACACAAAGTCCTATCGAGGCCATGACGGAGCATGGATCGTTTTCAGGACATAACACGCAAACCAGATCTATCGAGAGAGGACATTGACGAAGTCCTTCGACAGCGCCGTGACAACAGGACCCCCCGGGCCTGCTATCCCTGCCACCAACGCAAAGTCAAGTGCAACTACGTGAAGCCTTGTCAAACCTGCATTGATCGAGGCTATCCCGAGATCTGCATCTACGACGCCCCGCGGTCAAAGTCGTTTGCCGAGACTGCATCGTCTTCGGGCGCCGCCAGTACCACCCCCGCAGCTTCAGACGAGCCTGTGCTGGCTCAGAAAGTCACCTTGTTCGAGCAGACACTATGGAAAGTCAAAGACGAAATCGACAGGGTCTTGGGCGTATGGGGCCCGAGACCAGAGTCGTCGATGGTCGGCCAGCAATCGCGCCAGAGTCCCAGCAGAGAAGGGACGTGGTCGACACCTCAGGTACCAGGGCCGAGCACGCGGGGTACTGGGCAGCCTGTACACTTGGGACCGCATCCAGTGCTGCGGCCGACTGCGGTGTCGACCAGTGCTGACCTTGCGCGGTGGGCACAAGATCCCTCAAACCAAGAGATTCTATCCATCTTCGCCCTGGAGAATCAATCCATCACCTATCCTTTCTCTGCGTTGTGGGGGCTACACAACGAGCCCGCGTCGAGGTTTCAAAGCCTGTGCGAGTTGCTTCCCAGCGACGTCGAGTGCCGCAGCCTCTTCGTCTGCTACACAGAGACTGCTCACGCAGTGTTCCCAGCCATTCCCGACCTCGACCAATTTCAGAACGACCTCAGCGAATTCCTTGCACGGCGGTCAACCGCCCAAAAAGCACCCCTCTCAGAGGCGGACCCGGAGCCACATTCGGGGATTGGCGGCAGAGACCTCCATTGGCTTGGGTTGCTCTTTGCATGTTTGGCCTCTGGCTGCCAGTACTCGACTCTTCCGTGTGAGGAACGTCGATGGAAATCGCGAGTATACGGTGCTTGACTCCTGAACCCCCTTTCCGCTCCCTTGACTCGCTCCTGTTACTGACTGAATTTCTAGTCTGCTGCGCCTACGAGTGCTTGCGATCCACCAATTACCTCGGATACCCCACCCTATTTGACGTTCAAAACATGCTGGTCATTGCCGATGTCATGGCCAACAGCCTCGATGCCGGTGTGGCGTGGTGCTTTGAAGGTGAGATGTACACTTTTTGAGGAGAAAAATACTGACAGACGCAAAAGGGCTGACGATCCGGCTGGCACAAAGCCTTGGACTACACCTTGAGGTGCCTCAATCCACACCAGACAGCCTGCAGTGGCTCCGAAAAGAGCTATGGTGCGTCAAAACACAACATCGTGCGTCGAATCTACGTTAACTTGGGAGCAGGTGGCGCATCGTGTGGCAAGAAAGCTCACTTGCCTTGGCTTTCGACAGACCTTCGACCCTCCCGATCCAAAGAACGCCCCTAAACACCGGATCCAGCGAGTTATCCTACATTGACTGCATGAAAAAAATCTGCCAGATTGGCATTGAAATTGTCCGCGAGCGTTCGAACAGAGCAGCCGGGCAGTTTAGTTCTGAAGATATATCTCGACACCAGGATATCCTCAACGAAATGGCACAGGAGGCTGCACCATACCTCAAGGACGTGACGCTTTGTCACACGACCAAAGCTCGGCTCGAATACTGGAGCTTGTACCTACACCGGGCCTACGTCAATGCTGAGCTCTACAGAACCCTTCTAAGCGACCGCAGCTCCAGCCCCGACGATATGGATGCCTACGTGCGATGCCTGAGTGGCACAGTTACAGGCTTCCTTCACCTGCAGGTCACCGCTCCCGCAGTCAAGCAATCCTCAATATTCGTGCAGAGAGCGCTGAGCTCTGCGCTGATGTTGTGCACCATGGACGACCTTACGAGGACGAGGCCAGCACAGTATCTGGTCCACAATTTTATCACGGTCATGGAGAGCCCGTGCACACACTGCGCCGAGGCACACTTGCCTACACCTTTCTCCAAATCCATTGCGAAACTACAGGACATGGCGGCGATGCGGTGGCCTTCGAATCCTCCAAGCTTTTCGAGTGGTCGGACGCCCCCAGGGACGACGACGAGTCACGAATTGATGAACTGAAAAGAACGACACGGACTGTCAGTAATAGTCAGATTACGGTTATCTAGCTTTGTCATATTGAACGTTTTTGGTTGACAGCCCAACAGGCCTGATTTGCTCGAGGTCTTTTGCATCCCCCAGGACGTGGAAGGGTCACACCACCCGGGGAAATTCTACGGGGTACTGAACTTAAAGGAAAGGCATGCCCAGGAATGACGGCGGCTCACAAAGGCCACAGAGCCGGAAAAGGTTTGCGAACACCGCAGGTCCGGAAAAGACATGCGGTGGTACTCTTTGAGAGTACTTGTGCGACAGCGAAGCGACTGGAATTTATAGAGGGGTTCTGTGGCACACGGTCCCAGAGCTTGCTATACTATATAATATCATCTCCGTCCACTGACTCACCTCATTTCTGTTCCATCACAACAACCTTCTTTCTTCATTTTCCTTCCCCCTTTTCCGGATGCAGTGGCTGGAATTGGCTGCTTTGAATTTGGCCTGGATCACAACAGACTGCACGGCACTAGCTGTACACTTCTCTACCAGTCACTAACACGAGCCACTGTTATGTCTTTACTGCGGTAACGTCCGGCCATGACGATCGTTGAGGCACAGAGGTCCTGCCACTCAAAAGGGGTCGCTCCCGGACATACCCAGACTGCTATGAAGGCTGCCTTTGTGGGCTGATGCCATTACCTCGCTCGCCCCATGCACCAGGGTTCTTGCGCTTCTCTACCGAGCACACTCCGAGAGACATGCCGTCGATTTCCCTCGACACCGGCATCAAGGTCCTCGAGTTTTTGATGATGGAGATTAATTCTGGGTCGTCTGGGTCGTCCCATTGCGACGCTGGGAAAGAATCTCATTGGCCCCGTCAAACAGGGCTACAGCCTCACAGACCCTCCACCGCCGAAGCCGCCGAAGCCACCGAGCAAATCCGAGCTGGCCGCTGCTGGGCTAGCTCGACTAGGAAATGTTTCCAAGCCAGTCAGTGGAGCTAATGCATCACTGGTGGAATCAGTGGAATCGGCAAGGAATATGGTTCCAAAATTTAGTATTGGTGGATATGCCATGCCGACCCGAACCCAGGGCCACCAGGGCCACCAGGGCGACCTGGGCCACTACTCGCAACTACTTGGACGACGAATCCTCCACTATCAGCCATGCACATGTGCACGCCCTCTTTCCCCAAGTTTGATCGTCCGATCGTTCGATCTTCCCTTGGACCAACCCGCCTGGAAATTTGGCATGGAATCGGCACTCACCACCCAGAAGGCGACAATGGACGACCTAGGGGGTGGATTGTCGTCGGTAAAGTTTCTTGTGCGAAGCTCGGCTCTTGCGTCTGGCCAGCCCTGGCCATCTGGCAACGGAGGGGGGGGGGCGTTTCCTTATTACCTTCTTATTAGGTACTTGAACTGTGCAACGGAACCACCCCTCGCCGGCCAAGCTTGCAAACTGACGCAAGCGGAGCTGTTGTGAAGATCTCAGGGAAATGTACCGAGTATAATATCAACTCTGTTTGATAACGGAGCTTCTCTCTTTCTGAGCCCTTTCCCCCCTTCCTATCCTATCCCCCTGGAGGGAAAAACACATATACTCATTCAAACCATCGAGTCTGTTTACCAAGAACTTGTCCCCGAGGACGTCGTGTCTTGGGGATAAACATCATTCGCGGTTCTGTTACTATATGGACTATATGCCAATGTCTGCCCACTCTCTTGTGGACTTTGGCGTCAGCAATGGGGTGGGTGTATCACTGAACCCTTTGGGGTATCCCCTTTGATAGCGCGTGTCTGAATATTGACCATTGGAATTTTGTCTCGCAGCCTTTAAATGACATTGACTTTTCGATCTTTCAGCCGTTTATACGGAACGAGTATCTGAAAGAGCAACCGGGCTTCGTATCGTCAGATCAGCAACAACAGCAGCAGCAGCAACAACTGCAACATCTGCACCTCCACAATGTCATACTCCCCAGTCAACCGCTCGGTACCGGCGCCGGTCCTCCCGCGCAGTTCCCTCTGTCGCCGCCAATATCGTTTGCCGACTACGAGACGCTCCAATCCACCACCCCGGACGACTGCTACCACTCGAGCACGGGTCATTTCGAGCCGCAGGTTTCTGAGGAGGACGACTCACCCCAAAGCCACCAGGAGCAGCTAGAGGGCTCGAGGGTCAACGCGGCCGTCGCCGCACCACCACCCGTCAACTGGTCGAATGTCGTTCCCTGGGTCTCGACCAAGCCGCCCTCCTCGCGTGGACGGCCACGGGGCGGGAAACGAAGAGCCGCGGCGGCGCGAAATGGCGAGGCTGTAGCGGTCCCAACGACGGGGAAACCACCGGGCGCCAAACGAGGGAGGAAACCCCGAGCCGCGCGACAGCAAGCGACCAAGGCGCCGACGGAGGAGGACGACAAGGCGGCGCTCAAGGAAGCCAAGGCGGCGCACTCGGTCGTGGAGCGGCGGTACCGCGACAACCTCAACGGGAAGATGAGCCAGCTGTACTACGTGCTGAGGGAGGTGAACTCGCCGGGCCCGCACTCGCGGTTGTCGAGTACAAGCGGCGGTAGCGGCACCAGCGAAGTCACCACCACCACGACGCCTCTCCCTGCGTTCCAACCCCCGAGCCGAGTCCGCAAATCCGAGATCCTCAACAGCGCCATCGACTACATCCACCAGTCCGAGGTGGAGATGCGGCACATGGCCGACGAGATCAAGCACCTGCAAGACAAGGAGCGGACGATCCGGAACCTGGTCAAGTGCGAGGAGTGGTCTGTGCTGAGGGCACTTTTAAGTTCATGATTTTCTTTTGGGTCAGTGGTGAATGGGTCAATGAATGCATTTACGCGTGTGTATGGATATCTGCATATACGTTTTCGCGTGCGAGTGTGAGGGGGGACGAGGTGAGGTGAGGTTAATGGGTACGAACGATGGGGGTTGAAGAGAGGTGGTCCATCAACACCACTGGGGGATAGTCTGGTGACCAGGAGAAATCCTGCACTCACACAGAGACTGTGCAGTGTCGAACCAGTGTCAAAGACTTGGGTCGAGAGGAAGAAGTCAACAATCAATCAACAATCAACAACTAACTGTCTTCAACAAACGCGAGAAGCAAGAGATATGTCGTGCCGAGGAGCAGTCATCTCAGCCTCGAGAGCTGATTGGGAAGGGACATGGGGAAACGGGTGGTCGACAGATGAAATTACTAGGCGTAGTCACCTGTCTGTCCCGACTACAGCCAGCCCTAGGGAGGAGGAGTTCGTTTCGGTTTTTTTTCGGGACGAGGATGGGGGATTTTCATGTACAAAGAGGAAACTGTCGTCTGGTCACGATGGTTTTTATGAACGGGTGACAAGTCGACGGCTCCAGCGCAGGGAACGGACGGACGGAGGGAGGTCAATGTCCAAGGTCAATATAGATTATTTATCGGTTTATCATCGTGGTTGTCTGTTTGTTTTCTCTTCTTTGTGATCTCATGTCACGTCGCAAGGTCCCAGTAGGTCCGGTATGTCCAGTAATCTCGAGGTACAGCTCTACACTCTGCACTCTACAGAAAGCGGACCAGGATGAAGAGAAAAGTACCTCGTCGAGGGGAGAAGATTCGGAAAAGGCCCGGTGACCACGTATCCCGTATCCAATTATGGCCAATCGCTCATTGCGTGACCACGTATCACGTATCACGTATTGCGCACCTATCGCTCATCTCTACCGAGTAAGTCAGTGAGAGAACGAGGGAGCGAGTACCCGTTATCTACCCCCAAGAACCAAGAACCAAGTCTTGTATCTACCTATCAGTCTACAATTGACACTCACCAACCAGCCAAGAAAATGAGGGCTTTATGAACATTCCTCCCACCTCTACTTGTGCTCTGGATACCTAGTAGATGGTTTCAGCCAACACTTGTACTTGAGGACCTCGGTACCTGTTAGACGTTGGACTGCACGCTGCGATCGGCCGATCTGGCGAGTGTTTGTCACCCTCTCTTTCGCTTCTTCAAACTACTTGTACTTGGAATACGTGATTACCCAGGCAAGCCAGGGCACTAACGAGTCGGTGGGCACGAGGGAGGGCAGGCGACACCGACGATCTCACCGAACCCAAGCCCGCACCAGCAGGGCGCCGGTGGGGAGGATCGGCGAGGGAAATCAACCGCACTCTGATTATCAGGAGTAAACACGACAAAGGGAGAAGAAGCGAGCGAGCGAGCGAAGGGTCCATGTCGGATGTCGATGTCGAGAATGACGAGTCATTTTGGTAGCGCGGGAGGGGTTTGGATATAGTAGGTACTGTAACACATATTTGTAGGTAGGTATTTGATAGGTACTAGGTGGCACGGTGGGTATAGCTGTACCGAGTATGGATACAAGCACGAGTATGAACCGAGCAGGGTTACCCTTTTTGATCGCATGCTTGTACTATTATTACTATTATCGTGTACTGGGTACAAATGCCAAATGCCACATGCATAAAAAGAACATGTACGTCACAAACTACCCTAGATAGGCGGGTATGTATTGCATCATCGCCTAGTATCTGCACAATTACCTACTCCGTACGAAGTACTCGGTACAAATCGCACTACCGAGTAGTGTCTCGCGTCCATTAACCGCTTCAGGAAGGATCTGGTCCGCAACTCAATGGGCTCGTCTACACTAGTACTCCGTACTTAGACTTGTACCCTCGCACAAAGCAATCGATAACTGACAGAGGATGAGTACAAGTACAAGTAAACCAGCCCGGGTAATTCACCCGCGAACACTCTCTCACTCACCTTGCACTTTGCAGTCTCCGTCCCATTCTGCAGTCTCCAGTACGTGTCCGATGGCCTTGTCTACAAGTATCTACCCCGTAGAAGTACTCGCTCTCGCTACTTACTTACGTAGCACAACGCTGCTTTACGGAGTGGAAAAAAAAGGACAATAAAATAATACGGTCAAAATCGTGGTCATGACGCCAATTTCATTTGGACTATCTCCTTCAAAGCATCGCAGTCGCCTTCGCACCGCACCATGCGCTGCAGGACCGCCAGTTGATTCTGTAACCGCACAATCTCATCCGACATGTGCCTCATCTCTAGCTCCGACTCGTTGATGTACTGTAGAGCATTGCTCAAAATGTCCGATTTCCGCGGTTGCGGTTGTTCCCGTTGCGGTGACTGTGACTGCGACTGCGACTGCGACTGCGTCTCCCCCCACTGTGGTGATGAGTCGCTGTCGTCACTGTTGTTGGCGCTGCTGGCGCTGCTGGCGCTGCTGGACATGCGGCTCGTCCCCTCCAGCGTGCGGTGCAGCTGCCACATCTTTGCGTTGAGGTTGTTCCGGTATTTGCGCTCAATGGCCGAGTGCGTCTGCTTGGCCAGCGTCCGCTCGAGATCTTCGCTGTCACTCGAAGTGGTCCTCTTGAGCTTGGAGACTCGCTGCGAGTGCGTCTGTCTTCTCGATCCGGCGTTTGTGCGCTTCTCCCGGCTCCCTGCCCGGCGGCGGGTCGTCGAGTTCTGCGATGCCGTGGTCGTCACAGCGCAATCTTCAACTTCGGAAGAAGCCGAGGACTCAGAAAGAGCCAGCTCGAAACTGGAGAGCTGGTAATCTCTGGTAGAATCGCTCTTTACCACCTCATCCTCGCCAGCATATACTGGGAGGTTGTTGGGGCTGTAGGACCGCATTGGGTCTGACACATACGGGAGAAATGATGTGTTTGCGGTGGAGGATGTCTGGGTCGGAATCTTCTGATACATGAGGCTTGCATCCATAGTATTCCAGGGATATTGAGATTGGTTATAGTATTGCCGTGACTGGCCAAAGTTTGTAGTATTGGACTGGTCGTACGAGGCTAGAGGGTTTGACGCGCACCCAAAGAGCCCGTCCATGTCGGCGTTGGTTAGGGTAAAGTTGTACCAGTCGTCCATGTCCATCATGGAGTCTTGTTGCGGGATGATGGTATCCATTGCTCAGGACTTGTGAGATTGAGTAATGATAATGATTCAAAGTGTAGAGGTAGGTTGGTGTTGGTGTTGGAGCTGGAGATCCATTGTGGCAAGGAGGGCGCGGGCAGCGTCATATATAATTGAGGCTTTGTAGCCATCTTGGGACGATCTCGAGCGAGCGTGCTCGGCGTGCTAGACTTCGGAGATGATGCAAACAGGTTCGGTGGAGGAGAGGATTGAAACTCGGAGATGACGAAAATCAGAAATCTACTCGGTACTGCTATCAAAGTGTAGACCCTGTAGATCGTGTAGGTCAGAGTGAGACCAGTCGAGACCTCGCGGGCCACGGAGGACAAGCGGAGTGCAGCGCTGCGATACCAGAGAGTCGGCAGTAGTGAACAGAGAGATGCGCGCACTCAGTGTAACGACGGAGTATCTACGGGTACAAGAATGCCCCTAATTATTAGGCTTATCGTCTACCTACAAGTAGCGAGCGAGATCTCGGGGCACGTTCTTGGGGGTTTCATGTCCTAGGGGAGCCTAGTACAAAGTCCATGGGTACCTTGGGTATCTTCCCAAGACACACGGGGGACTCCCTAGCTTATAAGCATCCTAAGATAGCTACACAGCCAGGCCCAGACTCGCTCCGACCATTGTGCGCCGCATGTCCGAGCAACACCTGAGCACCTGAGCCAAGCCTCATGGCCGTGCCTGGCCATCTCCTCTCTCAGGTACCTGTTGGCTCCGCATCATTGTTCCACAACCAATCCGAGTCCACAATAACCTGCTCCTCTCACGCCCGGACTCCACGGGCCTCGTCAGTCATCAACACACCACCCCTCCGAACTACATCCGAGCCTGTCCGAGTTAATCACCTCCGAGTTGAGTCCCTGAACGACGTGTGCTGCTTCAAAAAGGGGCTTGTTCCCAGCAAACTTGGTATTACTACAAAGCTAGGAGAAAATTCACAAAAGAAAAAAGAGCGGACAAGGAGACACGCAAAACTCAACTTCTATCCCAACCGCAGCCGAAATAGCCATGCATTTTACACGCTACAAGGCTACACCCTCAGATCTCCCTAAAATACTTCCGGACACCGAAACAAAAGGTCAGAGGAACGCAATCCTCAAACCGGAGATATACCCTGGGATCCCCATAGGATCTTCTCCATCAACTCATAAGGCGAGTCCTCAGACCGCCCACCGTCGTCCCCAGATGCTTCATTCGAGGGATGCCCATAATACATCAGAGTGTCCGAGCTTGTGCTTCGCTCCCACGCTGGTATGGCATCGCCGCTCGCACCATACTCGGTCCCAACCTCGGAGCCGTGGTGGGCATTGAGACGAGCCAGCGCCCGCACAGCTCGGGCAATGGGAGCAGAGAGCTCATTGGGATCCAGCGACGAGTTGATGCTCGACATGACCACAATCAGCTTGTCAAGCAATGTCCGCACCCGGGGTTTACTCTGAGGCTGTTTCAGAATCCCAAGCAGCAGTGCCGAGCTCAGAGACCGATGCACCGCCGCCCAAGATTGTGTGGCAAACCGAGTCACATTGGACAATCCCAGAAATGCATCCACCGTGTTGGCCATGTTCTCCAAGCACGTGGCCCGAAAGTTGCCTAGTTCCGACGAGGTCTGCCTGCGTTTCAACGCGGACCGATACAGCTCCGATAAGATATATGACCGATGAAGATAGAGGTTCCAATGCTCCAGTTGGTCCCTCATCGACTGGCACGCCGTCGCGTCTTTGAGGTGGTGGAGCGCGTGATCCATCATTCTGGACAAATCCTCCTGATGACGGTTGATCCGTATCAGTTCTTGCCGGGGGTCCGTGTGTTTACTCCTCTCCCGCACAATTTCGAGCCCTGTCTCGCACAAGATCTTCATGCAGTCGGTATATGATAACCACGTGTTGTCGACGGGCTGTACGGATTTGTGATGCGAGATGGTAGGGGTCGATGACGCTCGATCGAATGTAATCGAGATGAGACTGTCCTGCCAGACGATCCGCCACCTATGAGTGTTGTCAGTGAGAACGCTCGGATGGCGCCAATTCAAAAGTCGCTTTGACTTACCAAAGCTCCTCACGGACCGACCTCTCAGCCTCGCTGCTGGTCCGGTAGGTCTTTTGATGGAGACCGAGGCTCTGTCCGATCCGGATAGTCAGCCCTTTCGGGGCGGTCAGCAGAATAATCTCCACCCGAATATCGGCACTTACCGAGCAAGCACCAGGCGATGCCAGAGTTCATGTTATTGGAGATGACGTTCCCCAGCACCAGCAACGTCTGGATATCCAGCAACTTGGAGTTGGACAAGTAATTGATGATGCGGAGACATTCATATGCACAGCACACTGCACCACGGTAAGCTCTTGATTTCACCACCAACGGACTGCTTCTCACCATAGACCTGACTGGTCAGTTGGCGTTCTTTATGCGGCAATGACGAACACTGGTAGCCGGAAGCGAGAATGGCGAACAGTAACCCCACCCAGTGGAGGGTTTTCCCGTATATGTTGTCATTCGAAAGAGCCTCGTAAGGAGCATCCCTGCTCGCGGCAGCCTTGTTGATGAGGAAGTGGGTGAGTTCGCCCTCAAATTGTTTAATGTCCACTACTCCAGGGAAAAGAACATGAGCCGTGTCGCGGTACTGTGCAAAGTATTGCAGGCAATCGGCGTCGGTCGGCAACAGCCTGCACATTGCCTGCAGTCTGGCATAAGATCCGTGGGGTAAGCCCCAAAGGTCCACGAAAGGGTAGGTGGCACTCTCGTTATCTAGACCAAACAGAGGTAGGATGCTTTTGCCGAGCACATCCTGGACATCATACTCGTTGGGGTCACTCTTGAGCGAAAATACCATGGCCGGGACCGAGTTGCCGCCCAGATGGACGGTCTCGCCCGTGACTTCATTGCTGGTGTGGATGGCAAAGTTGTCCTGGTCGACACCTTCACTGCTCGAGTCTCCTCCCGTTCTCTCGACCTTGGGCCTGCCCACCAGCGTCGAGGGAGACCCGTCCCTTCCCGGCAGATCTTTCAGCTCGGTCCGCAGCTCTTGAATGGCCTGTTCGATCGTCTGCAATCTCTCACTGATCCTGCTCCACCCCATGGGCTGTCCTTCGATCGGAGTGCTGGGTGGGATTCCCTGGCCGGCAATTGTTATCGTCGTCGTGGTGTTCGCGTCGATATTCGCGCGCTTGGACAAGGGCTCATAGAGGCAGAGCTCAGGGTGGTTACGGTCGATGCATTTTTGACAGGGGTGTTGATAGTTGCAACCCACCTTCCTCTGGCGACAGGGATGGCAGGCCTTTTGCCCGCGGGCCTTGCGCTTGCGACGTAGACGTTCATTGATCTCTTCCTGAGTCAACGCTTCCACCTTTGGTTGTGCCTCGTCCCCTGGGGTGGTTATCTGGTAGTGGCCCCGGCTCGAATCCATTGTAAACGAGCACTTTCGGAGGACCTGCGCGGTGGGCGCTATCCGAAAACTACCGCAAGAAGAAGCTGGGCGGAGGGGAGGGGGGGGCCACTATCCAGCTCTTCGCGGGTGGCCCTCGCGAACTTGGGGCTTGGGGGCCTCTGGAGAAGGAGGGAAAGGAGCAAGATTAAGAGTGATTGTTTGGCATATGGTCCTGCCCAAAAAAAAAGGCCGAGGTGAGCGACGGAGCGACAAAACTGGACAAGAGATTGGGAGGAAAATCGGGGATCAGCTGATATTGAAGGAAGAGAGAGAGCCGCGATAGGCTCCGTGGGCCGTGGCTTCCTTGTGTGAGTGTGTTGTGTGCTTGGCTGGCAGCTGGGAGGAGGGAAATGCGATCCCGCACCTGTGCCTTGTACTGAGTAAGTAAAAGGATCGGGAAGGTGAGGCGGGCACAAGTTTTGACCAGCAGAGTCAGTTTTTTTTTCGGCGGGTTCGGCGGCCTCGGGGAGCAGATCGTAGGCTGTACGGAGTAGGTAGTGGGCTCTTCTAGGGCTGTCCCTCGTGGGTTTGGCCCCCTGTCGAAATCTACTTTCCTTACCCGTCAGCCCCGTAACTAGGCACCCAAAGTCGCTAAAACCGGAGCCATGGAATCTCTGTCTGCCCCCCTCCTAAACCACAAAGTATCTACCGCGCGAGCGAGTCGTCATTCCATGGGAAACTATTTAAGTCTGCGTGTGGCCCTTCCCCCCCCCCCCCCGGTCTCCCTTACGCCCCGCATCGCGAAAACGGGAGGGCACACACCAGCACGCCAGAAAAGGCGTTGGTCGCGTCGGAGCTCATTTCCTTTTCGTCCAAAAACCCGCCCCCCCGGCCGGCTGAGAAAGTCCACCGGCGCGTTTTTGTCAATTGTGCATGCATCCGTGTCCCGAGTACGAGGGTTACATGCTTTGTACAAGTAGTTGTGACCGCCGGTACCTGGTTGACTGAGTCGATGCCCACTGCCGTCGCCTTCGCCACTTGCCATTTCACTACTGTGGCGAAAGGGAAGGAGGCAAAAAGGCAAAAGGCAAAAAGGGCGGTCGGGTTACACAAAACGCGAGGAGAGGAGGTGAACTAAGCTCGAAAAGCGTCCTGTGACGGACTACACTAGGCTGTATCACCTCGCTTATATCCACGGTGACTTGGGAAGCGCAACAGGATTCAATTCAGGACCGTAGATCAGGATCATGGCCTGGTTGCTTGGTCCATATCAGAAGCTGTGTCGACGAGATCTGACATGACCCCAGTTGATTGCGTCTGCATCCGTGCGACACGACCAAGGCTCGTTGGTTCACCTCGAATACTTGCCAACTACCTGGCTACTCTACTCGACTCGACAGTCTGATAGTCGGATCGGATCTATCCGACTGTCGTTATCCCTGTTGTCCCTATGGGGATTCACTACAGATACAGATCGAATTTTGAGGAGAGACTCGGACACGTAGCATTAACGAATGTCAGCCTAGCGATGAGTTCTCGCAAGACGAGGCTAGGCGCCAATGACTCCCTTTTCTCCGCGTGTCACTCCAACTCTGACCTAGAATTGACGACAATCGAGTCAGAAAAGAGCCACCACCACCACTGGTATTGTGCTGGGTGCTTGAAAGCTCAAGGTGTGCGTGCCGCCAGCAGCTTCGTGACTTTTTTTACGAGACGTTCTAAACAGGGCACTCGAGAAAAGACAACGCAAAGCTTTGGGGAGGGTGAGAGAACATTCCTAAATAAAGGTGGCTAATTAACTATACTAGTACTGTGACCGCTTTAGCCTGCAAAAGAGAGTCGTACATGTCGTGTCATTCCGGTTCACTCGTCCAATGTGCCCTGTCCAGAGCTTTTCTCTCTCTCACTGCGGGGGGAAAAAGAGAGAGAGAGAGAAGGGGGGGAGTGTATTCAGTGCTTGCGACGAGTGACCGCATAGGAAGAAGCCCTGTGTTGGTGGTCGTTTTTGTCTTTGTTTTCTTTGCGTTCCTTTTGTGACCGACCCCCTGAAAACTAGCTTCAGCCCTACCTCGGGCTCCAAGTTAAGAGCGCTCCTCGGGATTCGTGGTTCGAGCCTCATCGCTTTCCCAACTTCTCAGCCACATTTTGTTTGCGCTGTTTGCACATTTCAGGATGGACCAGATGCGCCGGATCCCTTGGGCCACTGCTTCCTTGGCCTCACCGACGAGGTTGTCCCGGCCGTAATTGAGGTCGATTTGACAGGACCGGCTTCGAGATCGTCTAGCTTTCGTTGGCCCGATCGCTTTTTCTCAAGTTCAGCTTTGAGAATCCGTAATATTGTAGGAGTATAGACAATACCCAGCACGAACAATGTGCTGCCGATTGATATGCCGACTGCAGTGTGAGGGTCAGCATCCGGGAAGAACAAGATTTGGGCTGGTGGTAGGGTCGAGACGTACATAACTTGGGAAATATCCATCCCGGCCTGTAGACGAGCTGATCCATATTGTGCGGAAAGGTGGTGATGTTCAGCGAGAACAAAGATGTAAGGAACGAGAGCGGGAACTGGCATCGAGGCTGTCAGTGGTTACATGCTCCTCCAGCGGCGATCAAGTTGGACGTGGAATGTGGAACAACTTACGAAGACCGCCGTGACATAGGTGAAGACCATGATTGTCTTGCCTTGTCTTGCCGACTCTCGTCCTTGTCTTGCCGACTCTTGTCCTTGTTTTACCGACTCTTGTGCCTCCTCATACTGCATTTTATTCAACAGCAGGTCCAAAGTCGCTTGAACCTAGAATTGGAGTGTCAGAGTTTTGCAGGGAAAACCGTAACCAGAGCTGCAAGTGTGTCACTTACAACCTGCGCCCTCTCTGCTGCCAAGTTCTCTAGACTTCGAAGATGCTTGATGATATATTTTGGTCCATGAAACAAACCGTCCTCCTTGGTTGCCTTCCCTGTGGACGATTCGTCCTTTGGGGGGATGTTCCTAAATTCGGTCCATACCACCTCCTGGTCAGTCGCCACAGATACTAGAATCTTGAGCTCCCCTGAATGTCTTGCATCTCTTCCACAAGTTCAATCGCTTGGTTCACCAAGTCCCCAGTCGAAACTTTGTTGGATCCTGCTTGACTCTCTTCTTGTTTCGTCTGTTCCGCCTGCTCCGAGAACTCTGATTTGAACCCGTTGCGTAGCCTGTCTCCTCGTCTCCTCTACGACATGAAACATCAGGCCATAGCTCGGATAGAACCGGGACGATCGAGAACTTACCATTTCTTCAATCCAGTGCGCGAAAAGCTGAAAAATATTTACATCCAGCAGGTCGTTGGATTGATCGTTCCCCGACACAGGGAGCTCCACGTTTCTGAATATATCAATGTAGGATGCGGTAATCATTCCCGCACAATCGTTCACTGTGACGGGGGTTGGTGATTCGCGATCTGGATACCATCCACAGTTCTTCGAGATTTTGGCAAGCACGGTGGCAAACAAGGGGTCGCTTCGTCCGGATGGTTTGCCATCTTGCTCGGTGGGTGGCGCAGTCGAACTTGTTACGATTGTTCCTAATCGACAATGTTAGAACGGCTATAATGAATCGTTTATACAACTCACTTTCATCGATGACCCAGAGACAAAATTGATCCACACGGAGGATATCAGGAGATTTGAAGTATTCGACAGGATTGAAGGCTTTGTTAGGTGAATATCCGCGGTCACTTAACATGTAGGCCACAGCTCGACTGACAACCTGATTGTAGTCGGATTCGATGGTGTCGGGTGCAGCATGGTAGGGATACTGATCTAGAGTCCGTGAGTACGATATATCCTTTGATATTGTATTTTCACCCCGAGGCCTCGGCTTCCCAAAAGTGATGTATGGTATCTAAGGCGGATGTTAGTTGTCAAATATCTTCATCCGGCTGAAGTAGAGTGTAGCATCAACACTCACATAGGTGGCGAGGAGGTCAGTGGTTTCCTCAATCGGTTCCCCTTGCGACGGCATCGGCGTAACTGTCTCCTTGATTTGGTGATTCTGTAGCGAGCCTAACATCAGCGGGGTCTTCGACTCGAGGGTTGACGGCAGGGACTGACCCAGCAGGACGGTGATATGTAATGGACATCGGCCCCATCGATCAAAGATTCATCCCAACTCTTCCGGAAGAAGCTGAGCATGTCTCGTTGTTGACGGTCCTTCTTTCGAGATGGCCATTTGCAAATATTTTGTACCACGCCCTTCGCATTGCAATCATTAGCTGAACGCATCAAGGATCTGGTTGAAAGGGCAGGAGAGGAGAGAGAGTTTTACCATCATCGAGTTCAACTAGGAAACGGCGTGTTAATATCATTTCTCGATGGCTCGCGGTTGCTCACTTACACTGTTTTCATGTAAATGGACCCATCGAATAGGGTCTTTCTTCTGGTCTTCCTTCTGGTCTTCTTTCTCGGACCCATCAAAGAACTGTTTCAAGTCTAGGACTTCATCTAGGCGGAAACCAAGACTACTCTGTATGTCTTCACTTGTCAACATCTTGTCCAAGGCTTCCCTGTCCTTCAGGTCTTTGGCTTCGATAGGTCTTTGTACGCACAACACTCGTTTTGAATCGTCGGACAAGTGATCTTTCCTTTGTCGGTAAAAGCCAGTCACGGTGGCAAATCCTGAAACTTCGTCACTGTCTTTCCCATCGCGTTCACCGCCTTGACAGACATGAATGACTCGGTGATTTTTGAGGATTCTCTCGATCTGACTATCCAGAGAAGCAGTATCCAGGGTTTCTGTGTTGATTTCTTCAGTCTCCTCTGGCGTTCTTGTCACCATTTTCTTCGCTGCCTCTATGCTTGTTGCATCCCAGTGATGTCTTGTAAGCAACCATACTAGGACTCGGAGCTTCCGGTGTTGCGTTACTATCGTCAAGACATCTTCGGCTCCAGTCGTCTCTGGTCCATTGGCAGGTTTGGGCCTTTTTTCAAAGTGTTTTTTTCAGCTCCGCATGATGTTCTGATCTCATCGCCAGCCATATTAGGTTCAATTCTGTTGCAACGTGTGCGCCATGGGACTTCTCCACATATTCCAGTAGACATTTCCACAGGTCTTCGTCATCCACCACGAGTGCAATTCCTTCCCACTCCAACCATCGACTTATCTTGTCGCCAGGTCGTGAAATTAGCCAATCAACAACGCCTTCAATTTCTTCTGCCTCGCTTTTGTCCCGGTCGTCGCCGTCGGTCGTCTCAGCACTCTCATTAGGAGTTTCGTTCGCAAAGCGATTTTCGTTCTCGTTCTACACTTCTCGCGATGAATTGAGAGCATCGAGAGCATCGAGAGCCTGCTTCCAGGCGGCGCTTATTGCTGGAGGTGCTATTGCTGGAGGTGCTATTGCTGGAGGTGGTGTTGTGGGAGGTGGTGTTGTGGGAGGTGGTGTTGTGGGAGGTGATGTTGCGGGAGGTGACGTTGCGGGAGATGACGTTGCGGGAGGTTGTGACGCCCGCATTTCCGACAAGCGGCGAATGGCCCTCAACAGTGGTGTTTCGCCGTCCCAGCTTTTTGCCACTAAATCTTTCTCATATCCCTCAAACGATTTCAAGATCTCCACGAATCCCCTGTCGGCTGCCATGATCACTGGAGTATAACCAGATCTCTTAGTACGTTGACCTACTTGTGTTTTTGGGCCGGACTTGAGTAGGATTTCAACCATCTTTGGAGAGCCTTTAGCAACGGCATCATGGAGAGGGAGAAAGCCGATATTGTCCGCCTTGGTTACCAACTTCTTTACATGTTCGTTTTTCAGAAGATCTCTCATGAGACTTAAGTTCCCCGATCTCGCTGCAGCATGGAGGATATTTTGATTGTCCCAAGATGGGGCTGTTTTAGAAAACCATTCTTGATACTCTTTGACCTCGTCCCTCTTACCATCCTCGGCCAAACCCAACATTTTCTCCAAGTCAGATATGTCCGGAACAGTGTCGGTGTCCTGTGAGCCGACAGCAGTAACTTTTCTGCCCTGGTCCAGATCATTTTCTGCTGCATTATGTGCTGGATCTGCGCCATGTCTATTTTGTCCCGTTGCCTCACTGCCTTCGATGCTCGGTCCGGAACCACCGGCCTGCTCCACCAATGGGCCAGTCGTAGATTCTTGAAAAACCATATTTGCTCTTCAGATGGTAAGAAAGTCTCGAGGCACAGGGACAATGAAGAAGAGTCTTTAAGAAGTCCCAGGACCAGAAGGATGTTCCGCAGGTGCACATTTCTTTCGGTTCCAATTGGTCGCACCCTATGAACACGTCAGCTTTTGAGAGCAGAGTGAGTTGATAAGAAGCGAGGTCTACTCATCGTTGCAAGGTCTTGCCAACAGACAATTGGGCGATACACCCGAACGCCAGACACCTACGACCAAATTTGTCTGGATGCATGGGCCGGTCCCGTTAGCTTCTTCAGAAGACGGCCACCCACGACACACAGAGATGCAAATGAGGCTGAAGGAAGGACACCACATTCTTCTTGCTAGGATCCCATTGGGGGAAATGATAGTATACGAGCCTCAAATCACGACGCCACTGAAGTGGAGACCGTGTCAACCAGTCCTCGTTACCGGATGGTGGGCTCTTATTTTCCATTCGAGCTCGTCTGCTAAACTGTTGACTTGATCGTGACTGGTAGCTCACTAACAAAACCCATGCAGAGACCGGGTCTAGGCTGGCGTCGTGTGCTCAGAGGGAAGGGGTCAAGCGAGATTGGGCTTCAGCCCGCAGGGAACTGGACCGTGTCATAGATGTTCTCCAGCTAACCTCGAGGAATTGCGGGGAGAATTGCGGAGAGAATTGCGCAGAGAATTTGGTCAATGATAGCCTGACCCCGAACATGGCCTTTCACGGTTCAGGCAGGTCGACCCTGCTCTCTGTTACCGAAGTTCGAATCTGGACGGATAGCAGAGGTGGTATTCTAGCTCGAAGCGCCGTTACAGATGTCGTTGACTTGGTGTCGCGTATTGACGGAGAGGACAATCACGGATGTAGTCGATCTGCACGTTGCCGCCGAGCAAAATTTAGCTTCGTAAAGCGGGTGCCGACGGGGAGCGGCCCGAGGAACAGGCCAATGACAACTTCAGTCTCAAGGGGCATCGTGCATAACTGACGTGATAGCTGGAACGCGTTCGAGTCCGATGAAGGCAACGAGGGTAGAGCAGCGATACGGCTTAGGCAGGGTGATCAACCAGGGTGTCCAGGGCGACGGGAACCCCGTGCTTTTGGGATGGAGAAGGTCAGCCATTGATTCGCGTCTTTCGATGAGGGGAGGTCTGCTGGCGGAGTAGGGCGGTGACTGATGCGTAGCCTGACTCCCCTGGGGCGTTCTGCCTGGCTAAAGGCGTATAGTGGGTTGTACCGTGTACTCACTTTGGTGGCTGAGTGGTGATGTATGCCAAGGCGCCAAGGTGCAGCCGACTTCGCCGCAAGCGAGCCTCGTGCTTTCTTTTACCCCACCTTCCTCCCCCTTCCTCCCCGGCATCCCGAATTCTCTACTACATGTATGGTGTTTGGCGCTGCCCACCATATCTACTTCTTCATTGTCAAGTCTCTAGACCAATCTTGTTATGTCGAGACTAGGTTCCACCGTACGCTGCAGCGCTTCCCGCGATGCTCCGTCATGTGCCAGATCGAAAGCGGCCTGGCTCCGTTTCCTAAAGTAAAATGGCTTACTAAGGGATATCACTATATTTTGTGGATGATATCTATGTATCCCAAACTATATGTGTGCTTTACCCATTAACCGTCTTCGTTAAAAACAAAAACAAAAAAAAAAAAAAGCCACCCCAACATGGCCTGGCTGATGAGAGCAGTCTGGGCGCGAGGTACTCGTACTCGGTACGCGTTTGATGCGCTTTCGGTCAAGATACAAGTACGAGTACGAGTGAATGACGATTCAGAATGACATACTGTGACATGAGCCCCCTTGCCCCGCAGAGTATCAGAATAAAAAGCTCTTCGCCAACTTTGCCACCTCGTCCAAGTGATCATCGCGCCCTCCATCCGTGATGCTCTCACAGACTTGGGGGCGAAAAGTCTCCCAGACCCAAAGGTATCGCGAATTCGACCTGACCATGCTCGCGAACCCGGCCCTGATGGCCTTTGAATCCATCGAGTCCTGGTCCGGGATCGAGTGCTGGGACCTGTGGGGCTTGTTCGCCTCCCAAAAGTGGCCGACTTGCACGCATTCCAAAATCAGGGTCGCCAGTCCGGCGGCGATGGCCGTGGCGACCGAAGAACCCTCATGGACGTATCCTAGCTCCTTGTCCGGGTTGCTCCCCTTGAGGGGGATCTTGTGGCCAGGAAAGAGAAAGTCGATCCTGTGCTCGTCGACGTATTGGGCGTTGTTGCCCATGGCGGTGGCAGCGCCGATGCGGATGATGTTTTCCTGATCGGCGTGTTTGGGGTAGGTTTCGTCATCTCCCGTCTTGCCCTGGTCACTCGACGCGCATAACATGATGGTCTTGTGTCGGACGGCCCTGGAAATGGCCTCGTCAAACTCTTTTCGCAGCACCTCGTCTTCTGGCCGTCTGACAGACCAGGAGATGGAGATGACCCTGGCTCCGCAGTCGACAGCGTGGTTGATAGCCTGAAAGAAAAGGTGCCATATTAACGGTTTGTTCACAATGATGATAAGCCACAAGGAATAATGACGAATACTAACATCAACGGCACTGGCTACGACGATAGTTAGCCTGTTTGTGTCCTGTTGTCGCTTGTCTGGTCCCAACCTTGATGATGTAGATATCCGCCGTCGGGCAGATTTTGCGGATGAACCTTGCCATGATGGTTCCATGACCGCTGTCAGAAATCCAATATGGATAGTTTCTTTGCCCTGCGTCGTCGAAGGCGAAACTTCTCCCGAGGTATTCCCTTCCCTGAAGCGAACTGTGTGTAGTGTCGACACCGTCGTCAATCAAGGCAACTCGGATCGACTTGAAGTTGTTCTCTGCGCCTCTCGCTGGGCGTTCTCGGACCTTAGAAAGGCAGTCATGAAGTTCTCCATGCCCTGCATCCAGCGATGTTGATCCATCTCGGCCGCTGGCCTGTCGTTGTCAGCCGGCTTAGATTTAAGAGACGTCTTCGCCGCAAGGTGGATTATTTGGGGGCCAGTGATTTCCCTGTCTGCGGCGACTTCATGTTTCATCGATACCTGAGAGCCTGCTGGATATGGGCGGAGTGGTCCAGAATCTGGACGGAGTGATCCGGATGCCAAAGTCGCGCTGTCGTCCAGTATTGCACTCCTCTCTTGTGACTGTGGCCTTCTTTTCTCTGCCACTTGCGACCAGTTGCGTATCAGACGATCATCAAAGCCTTTCAGTTGCTCCGCTATGTTCGAAGACAGGTCAGGACTGTCCTGTTATAGTGACAAGGAACTCAGCAATGAGAAGTTATCGAGGGTCGAGTATAGAGGAAAGACACAATACCTCTGGCGAGAAGATGAAAATCTTTGAGAGTTTGCCATACCGAGCGAGCATGGGTAGTCCTTCAGCCTCGCTCCAAGCACGTAAGATGGCGTTGTTACCACCCCAATATAGATACAATTCCTTCAAATTCTTGCCGATCTTGAAGATGGTAGAGGGACACAAGTCCGGCCGGCGCCAGTCCAAGATCTCCACGTCGGCTCTGGCGAGGGCGCGCCCTATCGCGTCGTAGCTGCGATAGTTTGGTTTCATGTCGTCGACGATGACATGCAGGATTCGTTTCACACATTTGCTTTGTAACCAGCCCAGGATACGTGTAGCATCGTTGCGGCCCTTTGAGACAACTCGGTCGTCATCCTTGTCCGGCTTGAACTTGATGTTTGCAATCGATACGTATTTTAAAGTCGTCTCAAAGTAAAGTTTGTTCCAGTGACTTTCAAACTGGGCAAACGTCATGTCAGTCGATGGGGCGGGCATGTAATCAAACCACAACTCTTGGTCTGGAGTTCAACTTTTAGTCTTGTATGTCCTAGTCTGGGAGACCTGAGGGTGGGTGGGCATGCTCTCTTACTCTTCTCATTTGGGATATACAAGCAGCGGTACGCAGCATCGCATGACATGTCTCTCAGACTCTCGAGCTTCAATTCGTCCTTGATTAATTTGCTGTTTCGTCGGTGACCTCTGGACTTCCCAGTCTCCTGTTAGAGCCCCAGGATCCTACTGACAAGTCTGGTTCGGCAGCCCTCGTATCCAGGGCTTTTGAGCCACTATGACTTGCCTGTATTGACAGAACATGATATTGGTGTGGCGAGTGCCCAGTGAAGTCTTTCTTTTGGAGCACAGAACGGCGGCGGGAAATGAGCTCCCGAACGATCTCGAGACGTCCAGGGGTGCACTTTGAATATTCGACCGCCAGATGAAGGGGCGTACGTCCGTGGATATCTTGAGCAAGCAACATGTCATCTGGTGCTAGGGAGATGATGGCCAGGAGTAATTTGTTGTCAGCGAGCAGGCTCCTGCTGTACAGGGCGTCATGCAAGAACGTGTTTCGCATCCAAATAGCGACCCAGGTGGCTTTGCCCTTCTCAATGGTTTGACGGACGTTCTTGACGGTCAAAGGCAGACGTGGCTCTCCTGAAACAGCACAAAGAAAGTCATGATTGCTTCTTTGAATGGCTGTGTGTAAGGGCGTATTCGACTCGCCGTCCCGTTCCACCAACAGGTTCATGCCACCCGGGTGCAAGAGCATTCTTGCCACTAGCTTCTGAACAGCCAGCCTCGTTGAAGGCGATCTGTTATCCTCCTGACTCGAGGCTAGAAAATGCAGAAAATTCTCACCCCGCAACCTGCTGGTGGCCATCACAAGGCTGTCACCGCGCTCTGCGACGAGTTGCTTCGACTGCTCACGCCGACTGGCTTTCTCGGTTTCTGGCATTTTTTCGATCTCTTTGGCGCGCTCCAAAACAGTCTCAAACAGGAATAGAGCTGGATCGGGACAAGAGCTGGGCGGCGACAACACATTCGCTATTGACCTAGGTTCTTCGCGAGGTTTTGGATGATCCATTTCCAAAGCAATGACTAGAACCCTTGATTCCACGTTGCGAGAGTAGTAGGTACGTAGGCATCGACGTAGGTGTGTAAATGGCGTGTAGGTCGCCAAGTGTAATGAGTGCGTCTGACCGAGTAATATGTACTCGGTACTTGAGTAGTTTAAGTGTCACGCGTGGTGTGAGGTGCCACTGCTTTGCTGCCTCTCACTACCTCTCCGAATACGAGGAATCGATGCATTGAGCCGAGGAGGGAGGCAATGCAGGTGTCTCGATTGTCATTGGCATAGTGATGCGTCTCGGTGCCCAAGTACCAATGCCCCCAGTTCATTGTCATTGTCACTGTAATTGGCACAGGAATGGCCTGCGTAAAAGGCTGTCGGGCTGCGCCTTGTCAAGTCAACCCACTCCCTTTTCAGTCTCTCAAAATCCTCTCGAGTCGGTATATTCATCTAATTCATCTTAAATAGCGTTACCCTCGCCGTCTCCTCAATATCACCTCATCACTCATCATGTCGTTCCACGAGGCTGAGGACGACGAGAATGGTCCCATGTTATTTGAGGCTCCGCTCTTCGTCAGTGGTGATGATGACGATACATTTCATGTCAAGAACCAGTCCTTGACAGAATGGCAGCGGCGCATTGTCATGGAGCGCCTCACAAAGGCCTGTACTATTCAATGCTTCCTCGTCAGTGTTCTCCACGGGAATCTGAACAAGACTCCCGAATCACCGTCGGCTACCCTGATGGTGTTCAAATTCCGTCTTGATCCACTCAAGCACGACCGACGACTTATCCGTGCTCGTATAGATATCGAGTTCTTTGCCGAGGATCGCGAGGATGCTGCCCCTACAGTCTTGGCTGTTGGGTTAGACGACCGCTGGACCATTGGGCCTACCGCGGACCACGAGGATGTTGTAAAGGGAGGAAATGTCAACTTCGGCGTCGCGGGAATACCCTTTGTGAATGTCGGGGTGGAGGCATCACTCAGCAAAACTGGCGGCCGTGATATTCACGATGCCACCACCATCACTGGAGGGACGCATTTTGGCGAGGGCATCGACGCTGGTGCCCACACGGCCTGCGGATGGACTCTGCTGGAAAACCAACGTCGAAAGACAGGCGTCCCTTATTCATTCACCGTGCCCGTTCTCCTTGAACGGCACCACGACAAAAAGTTCAAGGCGTGTGTGCACTTGGCGGCCAAGGGTAACACGCGAACGACTATCGAGTGGATGTTCAACAAGGTCCCTGTGGATGATCCGGTGCTCTTCAACCCCGCTGTCGACAGACGGGGTGACATGACAGAAGCGAAATATACAAAGGATGAGCTTGGAAAATGGGAGCACGAAATGGAACAACTCACCCATGTCATCTGCCGCACGGTTTATCGGGGCGCTGAGAGGGAGATCTAAACATCGCTATGCCAAATTACAGTATAGGCTGTACTTGTTCATATCAGAAAGTCGGGGTAATTTGACTTTGTGCACGGGACGATGAACTCGGTAGAGATATCCTTGACTCGGCAATACTAACACAAGTGGCCCATGGGAGCATCTACTCAACTCACGCACGGACTTGACTGGTCGGATTTGATTGGTCCCTGCGTACACAAGAACAGTAGGAAAAGGGTTCAAGGGGACTGACTCGTATTCGTACTTGCCGCAAACTTTGCAACATACCTCAGTAACCACGTAGCTCCTTCTCTCCTTGCACTCGGTATTCAGGTACCTGCCTTGTCTTTCCTCGCGCTCGGACTCGTACCCTACTCTGGGGACGATGGATACCTACCTACTAACGAGTACGACGTACATGCGGACAGTATATAGATTATGACTCCCAAACCCTTCCAGATACGCCGTTCTCGATACCCCAGCCAGCCAGAGCAAGTTAAACCCTACCGCCAAGGCCAGGCAACAATGGCCAAGCACCGAACTAGAGACCACTAAGCACCCAGGCGCCCCAGGCATTAGTCACGCGGGTCACGCCAGTCTCGATACGGTATTTCTCTACGAACGATTTCACCTCAAACCTCATAGCCATGAGCACGAGGTCCTCGTGGTACCTACTTAGGTAGTATTCAGAGGTTTGTATCGACCGACGAGTAATGCGTGTATCTCACTGTGTGGAGCGGGACTAATTCCATCAAAAGTCTGTTGTAAAAGGGCGGATGAGCGACGAGTGAAGCGAGCAGATGAATGACTAGTTCCTGTCTGTATAAAGAGACCTGCCTGCCTGGCTTATTGTCTATTTGTCTGCTTGTCTGTCTACTTACATACCTCCCTGTACACCAACCTAGCAACCTAGCGACTCACCCGCCCGCCAGGAAGAGCTCGCTCCAACTCACTACACAAACCACCTCGTATCTCTTACCTCAGCCGTTCCACTTCCTCTTGAAACCATCTCCACACAAAAAGAATAGTCAGGCCAACTGCCCTGCATATATAGGAGAGAGTAGACATCGCCATTTATCTCAACAGTACTCAACAACAAAACCACACCGCAACAATACCTCCCAGCCCCACCTCCATCAAAATGTCATCCCCGACCAGCGACAAGTCCAAGTCTGCGAGCTTGAACGCCGAGACTGCCTCCATCCAGAGCACTTCGACCATGTCGAGTCTCAAGGCTCTGCTGCACCCCAAGAACAAAAAGGAGAAAACCCGCATCTCACCCGAGACCATTGAGCAGAAGACCACGAGGAGGGAGGCTACGGCCACCTATATGGCGATGAGATAGATTTGCCGACACGGAAGATACACAGCAGAAAGTGGGGGGACAGGGTCAGGAATACACCCGCCACGCTATAATGAATGACGCCGATGTAATGAGGTTGGATAGGTTGCCAGTGAGCGCCATCTAGTCCGAAATTCTGTAGAAATGAAGATTCATTCCATTGAGTGTCGTCTGGCGTCATTTTTCCACGTGTCAAAGCGTGCCGGCTGACATCTTTGCTGACATCCAGCCTTACCATGTGGGTGTCATCCCGCCCCTTTTTCACCCATAATATAAAAGGCACCCAGACTTGTTCCACCCTGTCTGCTTCTTGGCTCATGCCCCAATCGCCACAGAAAAATGCCCATCGATAATGCCCATGCCGGACATTTAAGGATCGAGTCACGGATGATTCTTGCAGCGTGTTCACTGTCCACCAGGTCAAAATATTCCCGAGAAGAAAGACTTCGTGAGTAGCGCCAAAATGTCCATCTTTTTACTCGCCAGGGTCGCGTCGATTGTTGGCCAAGCATCTCGGCCACAAACAAGCTCGGCTGGAGATCTGAAAATTCGGCATGGCCAACAACCGCACCCCCTTATCGGAAAAGCTTCTGTTGATCAACGGCGGGACTGGTCTGTTATCTCCGCTCCCCTGGTGACAACCGAGATGGTTACGTCCTGTCGAGATTGATTAGAATGGGAAGTCCGCTGGTTTCCACTGTGCAAAGTTTGTTAATCGAGATGCAGAGGATGCGATGCCACGGCCTTACACTGCTCACTGCTCTAGCTGAGTGCCAACTTGCTGAGTCATTGACCGAGCTTATGAGCGAGTTAACGACCGAGCTCGTCTGCTGTTATGAGCGAGCCGGTAGCGAACCGCGTTGCCTGGCAAGCTGGATCGTACAAACTCAGGCCGGCGACTTTCTGAAACGACAGGGTCTCCAACGGCTTCGTGTTATCCCGTCCAATAAAGCAGCTCCATCTAATCTAATCGTTGTTCAAAATTGCTGCGATGGGCGGTGTCTCGCTCTTTCGCAAAGGCCGAAGCGTCCCATTGTATGGTCGTCTCGGGTGCATTTCGATCGGGATTCCGACTTTTCGATATATCAATGATAAATCAGGGGATCGCTTTTAGGTCCAGCTTAGCCTTTTCTCCCAGATCTGCCTCTCTTCCTCTTTCTGTTAGCCTTGAGATACAAAAAGAGAGAGCGAGCTCGCGCCTCCCACGGTCCTTTCCACAGCCTATTCTGATCTGTTCGAGCGGCAGAAAACCACTACCACTTAAACCTCCCCTTGTTTTGACTCGACTCTTCCGACCATCGTCGCCATGTCGCAGGACCTGGAGAAGCAGATCCCCATCCGCGAGGAGCCAGAGTCCGAACCTCAAGAAAGTCTTGTTGTCCCCATCGACAAAGATGTCTCGGCTTCACCTACCGAGAAGTCGTCGCTCGATCAGCCCGCCCAAAATGAGACTCCAAAGCCTGCCAACCCGTGGATGGACCCGTCTTCGTTTCCGGACGGTGGTGCACAAGCCTGGCTCACGGTGGCTGCCGCCAGCGCCTGCTTTTTCGTTTCCTGGGGGTATGTGGTCCTCGTTGTTTTATGGTGGAACGTGAACGCTGACATCCCCTGTTTCCAGATGGATCAACTGTATCGGAGTCTTCCAAGACTACTACATGCGCGCCGAGTTGAAGCAATACTCACCCAGCACCGTTGCCTGGATTCCGTCGCTAGAGACATTCTTTATGCTCGCCACGGGACCTGTGGCCGGCTTCATCTTCGACAACTATGGCCCCACCAGGCTGCTCATTGCCGGTAGCTTTCTGCATGTTTTCGGCTTGATGATGGCCTCCCTCTCCACAGAATACTATCAGTTCCTCCTCAGCCAGGGCGTTTGCAGTGCCATTGGTGCCTGTTGCATCTTCACCCCGGCCGTCTCGTGTGTCTCGACATGGTTCTTTCACAAACGTGGTATGGCCATTGGGATCACCGCTGCAGGCAGCTCTCTCGGCGGTGTCCTGTTTCCCATCATTGTTAGTCGCATGATCGAGGAGACAGGGTTTCCGTGGGCCATGCGGACCTGCGCCTTTCTCATTCTGGGCCTCTGCACCTTTGCCGTCTTCACGCTGCGCTCTCGGTTCCCTCCGTCTCGGCGTCCTTGGAGCATCATGGCCTTCGTCCGGCCCCTCAAAGAAGTCCCCATGATCCTGCTCACTCTTGCCACTTTCTTCTTTTACTGGGGCATGTTCCCGGTATTCTCCTTCGTCACAGCCGTGGCCAACGGCAGGGGAATGTCGCTCGAGCTAGCTCAGTACCTCGTTTCCATCCTGAATGCTGGTTCTGTCTTTGGCCGGACATTACCAGGGTTGTTGGGTGATCGAGTTGGGCGCTTCAACGTCATGACCGTCTTCTGCACTCTGACGGCCATTTTGATCCTGGCGGTGTGGATCCCCGCCACGAGCAACGCAGGCCAACTCGTGTTTGCCCCGTTGTTTGGTTTTGCCTCCGGTGCTGCCATTGGGCTGACGCCTGCTCTGATTGCACAAGTTTCCCCGATCAGGGAGATTGGTGTGCGGACAGGCACGGTCTTTGCCGCGGGTTCGATAGGGGCGTTGACGGGGTCGCCAATCGGAGGTGCCTTGATCACTCGCGATCACGGAGGCTTTCTGTACCTTCAACTATTTGGCGGTTGTGTCTGTCTTGTTGGGTGTCTCTTCTTCCTCATAGCTCGGATATACCTGGTTGGCACTGATCTGAGGAAGAAAGTGTAGTTTGGGATGGAGGGCCATTTGGCAGGAAAAGGCCAGTTTCGCAATGACCTGTGTATACTTGTATTAGTGATAGACATAGACTCCACTTGAACAAATTCCATTGCATACGGGATATAGATGGGTTCGCAGGGAAGAAATGAAGTTTTGTATGTAGTCTGGAGCGAGAGATTTATTTCAACTGTACCGAATTTCCGCGGACAATCTGTATGGACATACGGAGTACATAGGCCAGGGTGGGCGGCAGTGGTGGTAGGGATCAAGGTGATGGTGGTGACGGTGGTGATGATGGTGGTGGGCGCAGGTGCCAGTCAAACTGCGGCATGTGGCATAACTTCCTCCGCGGCCAACTGCGCCCAATGCGTTTGGCTTGCGCAATCCTGTCACAAACATCTTGTCATCTCATCTCTATCACATCCTCATCCTCGTCTTCATCCCATCTTCCACCCACCATCCACCATCATGATGGAATTGGAACAAGATTTCCCGTCGAACGTCGAATTACTCCTCAACATAGTCGCTATCTTTGGGATCGTCGCAGCCATCAGCCATCTCCACATCTTCATGTCTAGCTGGGATCTCTTCCTCATTACCAGAAGCTTCGCCCGCATCGACAGACGTTTGAGTCTTGGACTTGGCTCTGCGCCTGCTGCTCCTCTTCCAATTAGCCACAAGACGAGCGACCTCCTCCATGTCGTACGCTTCGATGGCGTGCACAAGATCATCCTTCGATTTAGTCAACTTGTTCACCATTTGCTCCAAACCGTGACTACTCGCTTCAAGCGTTTTCATTCGAGTTTCCAGGTCTCCCTTCTCCTTCTGCCACACTCCCCCCAGATCATTGGCTTTCATTGCTTTTGTTTCAGCTTCCACGGCCCTCGCTCTTGCTTCCAACACCTGCTGTTGCATTTGGACATAGTTGCAACAGCCTTTCTCAATATCGAGATCCCAGCCTGGCATCTCGAGCTTCTCCAGGTGGTTTCCTAGTATCCTGGTAGTCTCATCGGTCCAAAAGTTGGGCAACGTGACTTGTTTCACGGCCGCCTCGTCTGCATGCCACAAGACAACTGCGATCTTGACCATGTCACCCGGTACTCGGTGGGACATATTGACAGTCAGCCACCACTTTTTGAAGGCGGCCTCTTGAAGGAAAAGTCCACGTGTGAAGCTCTTGATGGTTTCGCGTCTGAACTCGGTGGAAGGCCCGTATACCATCAATCCAGCAAATCGGGTCTTGCTTACTTCGATGTTGGTGCGCTTGAGTTCGAAAATCAGGCTGTCCTTCACAAGATCCTTGACAGCTTCGATGGAGTTCATAGTGTCAATGTCGGACTGTACCTCCCGCGTGAAGCGGCCTGCTTGGGGAGCTGCGACATGAACCAGGACTGGCAGAATTTCCGGCAGCAACCACCCCTGGAAAAATGTCAGCATAACACCGCAGGACGAGGACGGAGTTCTGGACCAGGACATGTGCATTGCCAGTGAAGAATGCGCAGAAGACCTACTGTGATGTTCTTGTGTTTGTGAGTGATCTTTTCGGCTTCGGCTACTCCAAGCTCTTCCCAAGTCTCCAGAAGCGGGTACTTGGTGTTCGTGATGGTCGTCTTGGGATGCGCGATACCAGGGCCACTGTCTTGTGCGGCGTCATCGGCGACTTTCCAGCCATTTATGTCCTGATGCAATTGCCGACTCTCCTTTATGCTCACCCTCTCCTGCTTGTGCTTTGTAACCTTCGGTGTCATGTTGACCAAATTGACTTGATATAGGCGGGAGGGCGCAGTTGATGGGCCGTTTCGCAACTCCCGCCAGCACCAAGTGTTAGTGGACTGTTCAAGAAGTCCACATACGATGAGCAAACTTAAGCACGAGGAGGAACGGAGGCACAGAGCCTGGGTGATAGGCTGGCGCAAGAGGAAAGGTAGGGAAATGCCAAAAATTGACACACGAACAAGGCATGATAGTAACAGAGGCAGTGGTTCATTCACATCACATCACTAACTCCTATCTCTGACCTACCTCAGAGCTTTCTGCCAGACCCTTCACGACTTCACTCTGACCGAGCAGTACTAGCACTAGCGCCCTCCTCCCTCATCATGACTGCCTTGTCGGCCAGCACTGGTATGATCAGCACAGCGAGCTGCGCACACTGCGATGATAGCAATAAAAGGCTTGACGATAAAGCACAAAAACAAAAAGGAGAAAAATAGTGTTTCCAGAAGCACATCCGATCAATGCATTCGATCACCATCCGTGAGGACCCTCGTTAACCACCTCAGCCAAAACCCCAAAGACTCGCTGATGTGGAGAGGCCCGCAGAGCCTCTTTTGCTACAAATGTATTGGACCTTTCCGCTCGACTGATGTAACCTATCAGGGGAGGCAAAGAAATTTATGTTAAAATTCTCAGCCTAAACTTGTCAGGTGACCACAACCAATATCTACATATCGCAAAGGACATGGTGACAGCTTCACTTTACTGTTCTGGCTGCTTTTGAGCGTTTGAATGGCGCGGTGCTCAGAGGAAGAAGCTAGTCTCCAAGTACGGGTACGTTGTCTGCGCCCTGGAGGTTGGCCGAAGCGGACTCGAAATGAGCCCATCCCTGGTGCGCTGTACCAGTTACCTACGTGTTTCGGAGCGTACATCCTTGGACTTTCGTCGACTATGGCTGCCTGGTCTTACTGACAGCTTCGGTGGTAGGCAATCATGCGCTCTTGAAACTAGTTTGGGTCGAAACCTGGCCATCGAAGCGGTCTTTGGAACCTAATCCCCCAATCACATGAATCAGCCCACTCTTCAGCGGTGAGATAGTCGCCGAGTCCCCGTATCAAGGGAGCAGTCCTTTGGTCCCGAACACTGACCGGGGTGAAAAGAAACGCGCCGAAAGAGATGGAATTGAAGGACGCCCGAGAGTTTTGTGCGAGTGATCAGAACATTTCCCGTCTGCTTTTGTGCGACCAATCATTCCATGGCACGCGCCAACTGCAATTGCAGGGAACGCACGCATTAAACCTCATTGAGGCAGGTTCGTTTTGTGCTCTCTCGTCCCTCGTGACTGTGGAAGCAATGCTCCTTAGCCGATGCCTTCTGACCGGGGGGGAGTGTTGATATTTACAATTGCTACTATTGCTCCCCCATCATCATGGAACGGGCCGGATGCTGGGGTCATTTTTAAGCGGATTGACGAGGGGTAGCAAATGTTCTTCTTTACTAACGGGTTTTAGACAAGGCTAACCTGGGCCAGATGATGGCTTCTCTGGCGTCTTCAACGAGACTCGGAGGACTACATTACGTCGGTATGGATGATGTTTTTGTTGGCAAAGGGTTTGCAGACGCCCGTCTGCTGCGCAAGAACATTCTCAACTTCCCATCCACAGCTTCACCAATGTTTTGTTGCCATGTAGCCTACGAGGTTCGAGGCTTGGACGACCTAAGCAACGTGAGAATTCCTTCCTGCCACCTGCATACTATTTAGCGCCACCATCCCATCCTTCTTCCACGCTGCTGCAGGGCGACGAACCGAATGTTTCCATCACCCCGGACACTGGCTGCTCGTCAAGGGCACATGTAGCCCCATCCTCTCCGACACAACACTTCCAACGTTTACAAGCGGTGCTATCTCGGAGGCGACTCCGTTCTAGCACCGTCCATTTGGCCTTGGGACTGGGCAAATCAAAGCTACAGGTTGGATTGCATGGTTGCAAACTGAGATTTCAAGAGAGGTTTTACTTGCGGCATTTGAGGGAGTCAATTTTGATTGTGGATTATGGGTTGATATAGCGTGTCAATTTCGGGCATGGTCCGCAGGCGGTGAGGGCGAGAGCACATTCTAGGGTCCGAACCAGCCGTTGCGGCTCAGTTCGTAGGCAACCTCTGCAGAGTTGATGGGCTAGTCTTCACGCGCCTACAAGGCGCAAGCAAAGCCCAGGATGACCCCGAAATACAATGGATCCCGCGTCACAATGGACAATTAGGAATGACAGGGCACCGCTCCCGGGTGGGCACGCATTTTGCGGGTCGAAGCCACTGACTGGATCTTGTCCGGGGCGATTTCTCAGGAGGCCGACGGCTTGGGGTTCCCTTACTCGACATATCTGCTTGGCAGCAAACATGCGAACGTCGAAGATAATGCGCCCCTCTTTGAAGAAGGATTGCCTACGCAAAAGAAACAACGATCCGAGAGCCTCAACTTGACAAGACTTTCGTACCCGACGTGCACGATGATGAGAGGTAGGTCATTTGAGGATGACTTGTTCGATATGTGAGACGTTGTCGCCATCGGGGATGACGCTGTTGCACGAAAGACCTCAGCATGTTCGTTGGTGCCCCGTTCGTGTGCCACGCTCCAGGGCAAGACCCCTGTCAACTAGCAGATATGCTCCGCAAGCCAGGCGCCTCACTTTGGTTATGGTTGTGCAAGGGAGATACAATCCCGCCGGCAGACAGCCAGCCCGACCTTGGGCAGGTAGAAGATCCTTGGCTTTGTTGAGCGGTGTCCTTTAAAGGTCTGCTATCAGCCATGGTCCTCGGATACTCTCGAACTGCTGGTAGCACTCTTGGAGTTTTCAAAGCTTCCCGAAGCACCTTCTGCACAGTCCCCAGATACACCCTGCCTCCCTGACTACATTCCCCCGAAGAAGAATGACAGGCTCCAAGGAAGGGAATGGTCGGAAGCCAGGTCGCCAAAACAAACGCGGCGGCTCAGGACGCAAGAAGCGCTTGAGAATCATTAGAGTAAGACCGGGGAGAGCCAAGCCGCGGAGTTGCGATTACTGTTTTCGCCTTCATCGCAAGGTACGTGTGTGTTTGGTACTTCGGTCTATTAGAGCATCCGAACTAATAGTAAATTGTCAGTGCGCACGAAAAATACCAGGAAGGAAGTGCAGGGGGTGTGAGCAAGGCAACAAGTATTGTAGTTTTGAGTCTCTGCCTCGTCGACCAAGGGGTACGACGGCTCCTGGGAATACTCATCCTTCACCTGGCGGCGTCAACCCACTCCCGGTAGCACAAATTCGTCAGAGGTGTGTGTCAAGGCGTCTTGGTCGAGACGGAAACTGACGTCGGCTGTAGTCCTGGTAACCAACCCGATCCAGGCTTGATTCCATCCCCTTTTGACCAATATGGGACAACCTGGGACAGCCGCTTCGGAATGTTCCCTCCCCAATCTTTTCCTCACACTCTAGACACTTCCGGACAGCCGAACAGCCTGTTCGGCTTTGTTGATCCTCATGCGTACCAAGCCAGGTCAATGTGGCTCTCGACAAACGAACAGGGTCAGCAAGCGGGCGGTGGTGACGAGGAGGAGACAGATGAGGAAGAGGAAGAAGAGGAAGAGGAAGAAGAGGAAGAGGAAGAGGAGGAGGATGACGATGATGGGTATGATGATAACAATGATGATTATGACGGAGGGGCAGGGCCAGGGCCAGAGGAGGACAAAGACGAGGGTCCAAAAGAGAGCGTATGGTCTGGGATGCTGGTCGAGAGGTAGAGGTACTATTAGGACCCGGAATAGGGAGCACAACGTCAAAACACAAAGGGATGGGAGGGATGGGGAATGCGAACCATGGGGCATGTGGTCTTCAACAGACCTTACGATTTTCATTAGGAGGAGAGTTGGAGTGGCACACAGGACACGGTCTCTTTTTTTCTTTTGTTGTGCTTCTTGCTGTTGTTATCGTTTTTTGAATTGCTTTGATGTTGTGGAGGCTCAACGGACGACGACATGATCGAGTGCCCCTTTTTTTTGGCTTATGTCTTGTCTTTTCATAGCTACCGTAATTGACCATGAACCTCGTCATCAATGGTTTTTTCGTCTGCCTCCTTTTTCCGACGTCAAAGCGTGAGTTGAAGAATACCGGAAGTGGTGAACGGGGTTTTATCTGGTACCCTCGCTTCGCAGCCTCGACGCCTGCCTTGGGGATGGATGCCTGTCAAGGAATTCAGACATGCTCAGCAACGCATGAACAATGGGACAACGCATGGCATGGACAATGGTGCTTGTCCTGCGTACGAAGTACGGACAAGGTGTGGGTTAAAGTAGCCGAAACTCACTAATTTACGAGGTACCTACCTAGGTACTAGGGTATGCAAGCAAGTAAGCTATGTACCGAGTACAAAATACTTTAGGTACCACGGTACATTCGGTACTTTAGTGGGAAAAACCCACCGGTTTGTAGATCCCCCAGCCCAAAACCAAACCAAACCAAACCAAACTGTGCCCTAATCTAGCAGCTAGCGGTGCTTAAATCTAGCAGTTGTTGGCTATATATGTATTGCTGGGGTTAGGGGTTGGCGGCTGGCGGTTGGGGTTTTGGGGGTTAATGGCTTATAGGTACGAGGTAGGGCTATAGCCCTGCCGCGCAGGGTAGGGTAGGGTGCTGGCAGGATCGGCGGTAGGGGGCACTGGACCACAATTGGGACACCTATCTCCGGATTGCCAGGGTGCCGTGGGTGCCTAACTTGTACGAGGTAGAGGTACGAGGTATGTACATGTAACACCCACGGGCCACTGGGACATAGCGCCTGGTGGGTGATGACCTTTATGGAGTACATAGGTATTACCTACAGTACCTGCGAGTGAATAGGTACAAGTACAAGTACGGAATCTGGATGAGCACTGACCTAGCCTACCTATACCTAGCTGGGTTGTTGCGAGGCTGTCTGGGGAGCGGGTAGTAGATACCCACGCAGCTACGGTACCCTCGAAGCACTTGTACTCGGTACATATGTACTCGGTACTCGTACGAGAGACAAGCACGGACGGACGATCATCTGCTGCACTCGGATGTTCTGTACCGGTTTCCTTTTCCAGTAACGCACGTTTGTTGTTCGGCGGAATGTTTCTCCATGCCCTCCAGACAACGTGCTATACTCGGTACCTACCTACCTACATATCCTAGAGGTAGTAGTTTATATATAAAAAAAAGGGGCATTCAACACAAGGGTACCGGGTAACACACACATATGTATAAAAACGATGATTCTCACTGAACTGTGTCACTGGCATCCACGACCCGTGACACAAACCATTACTGACTAAGAAAACATCAAAACCTCACATCTTTAAACGAAAGAAAAAAAAAAAGAAACTCGCTGGAAGGCATGGACCCTCGCGTCGCGGCCGTCGACGGCTTCACAAAGACCCAACACACGTCGGTCCCACCGGCGCTGGATCCTTCTTCTGTAAAGCTGGACGACGGCTTCACCGTCTGCATCATCGGCGCGTCCACGGGCATCGGCGAGCATATCGCATACAGCTTCGCGAGGGCCCAAGCGACAAGAATCATCATCGCATCTCGCACCTTCGCCGACCTGGAGATGGTGGCCGACGAGGCCAGACGGATCAATCCCCGCGTCCAGGTCGACGTGGTCGAGTGTGACGTCTCGAAAGCGCCCGAGGTGGAGGCCCTCGCAGAATATGTGAGAGGGCATTGCGGCGGGCGATTGGACGTGCTCATCCTCAACGCGGGCTACGCCGGCCCCGTCGTCACGAAGATGGACCAAGGAAACCCCGAGTGGGTGCAACGCGCCTTTGAAGTCAACGCCCTGGGAACCTACCTCACCGCACATTACTTTGTGCCTTTACTCGTGCAGTCACAAAGCAAGGCAAAGGGATTCATCGCCATCGGGTCCATCGCGGGGTGCATCAGACGGGGACCCATCGCAAACACGGGGTACACGGTCAGCAAGTTTGCGCAGATTCGCCTGGTCGAATATCTTCACGAGCAATACTCTGGCACAGGGTTGGTCAGCCTGGCACTTCACCCGGGAGCGGTCATGACGAGGATGGCGAGCGGAAACACGCCGGAAGAATTCATGCCTTGTGAGTCGCCCTGGCTCCAGCATCTGCCTATTGGCCATGCTTGACTAATTTATTCGACAGACATGACGGACGAGGTCGATCTCTGCGGTGCAGTTTGTGTCTATCTCAGTAGGCAGATTGGCGATCTCGGTTGGCTGAGCGGGAGACTGATATCTGCCACTTGGGACATGGAGGAATTGATGGCCAAAAAGGCAAAGATAACGGAGAAAGATTTGCTCAAGTTCGTCCTAGTGACCGAGTAAGGATAAATGCGCATCACGACAACTCGTCTTCCACATGCCAATTCGAGGGTTTGATTCGATTGAACAAACTCAAAGGGTCTACTCCCAAGGACTAGACATGGTCCGCCGCTAAGGCCCAAGAAGTAGTTGGTTGCCCAACCTCATTCAACTGCGACAACCACCACTGGCCTTCCTGCAGGTCTGGGATGACGATGCAAGGTACCAGATGTCAAATGCCAATCCCGACCAGTCGTCTGCAGGTGTGGTGACACACATTCACATGATCTGCATGGCTTCGGGACATAAATAGAAACCAAAGGGCCAGACCTACGCCAACCGGCCAGAAAGAGCGGGAGAAGGTGTGGGCTGAATGGAAGTTGAAAAGGAGTTGTTCTTGAGTTGTTTCATGCAACCTTCTGGTCATAGATAACCCTATCCAACAACATTTACACAGGTACGACTAGATCGCCCCGGTTGTTTGTGCCGGCCTGGTCTCTTCACGGGGCCAATGCAACGTATCGAGGTTTTCATGACTTCACCTCAAATCCACATGACCGGATTCGTTCAGTCTTCCAGCAGGAAACGTCCGGTGAAACAGGGAGCCGAACGTGACGAGCGTTTCAATGTCAAGCCACTGATGCAGGAAGCAGGACGCATGACGCAGGGCATGGGAGCGTGGAGCATGGAAACGATGGATCTACTCGCAGAGTCGACATGTCTTAAAATGCCGAATGCAGGCGATGGAACGGTCGAGGACGCGAGCGACGGCCGTGGATGGATGGGACAACGGGAAGCAGGAAGCTGATGTGGAGGACGGAAGCGAGAGGCCGGAATCTTGATTTGCTCAGTTTGAGGCAAGGTCTGGGATCGATGGGTCCGTCAAAGGAAGCTGGTTCTTTGGCCAGGTTCCACTCAAAGGCTGAAAGTGGCAAAGACGCCCAGCTTCCTTATGAAACCTGCCGCAGGAGGGGCGCGCTCAGTGCTGTAAACAGAGGCCTTGCCAGCATGTTCTGGGCCAGCTTGTCAGCTGCATGCGAAACAGGAGAAAAAGCATCTTCTCCGTAGGAGTTGGACTGGGAGCGAGAAGGATAGTGAGAGCACGAGGTACCTAGTAGGCAATGGAAGGAAGAAAGGAAGACGGATTACCAGCCTCCAAGCCCAATGATAGTGGTTTGATAGTGGCTTTTAGCCTTGATGCCGACTTTCCGCTCAGCAGGCATCGTCCGGGTACCATCACCGCCTAGGGCAGCCACTCCGGCTTACCTATTGCGCGAAGTTCCAGTGGTGCCAGGTTGGTAATGGGCGTATCGCATGGGGGGTGGGTTTAGGCTGCTCGGCTAGCCATCGCGTTTTTAGAGGTTTGGAGGCCCTTCTGGCATTGCCCACGTGCGACTGGCTTCCTGTCACTTTGTCCTCTCTACCAAGTACGAGGTGCTCGTATCTCCCAGTTCCATCATCTCCACAAGTGTCTCTGATTGTTTGCCTGCTTCAGCCTCTTTTGTTACCATAGTCACATCACAGCGCATAGGTATCCTATCTTCTGTCTCATCGGGTACTCAATACACGTATCGAGCTCGTCCGGACCCAGTTCCCAGAAAAATCATTCGATCCTTGCCTGCTCGTCCTCCACCACATTACCCAATACTCGCATATCCCGCCCTCGTCCGCGGCTGATCTGACAGGGTTCCCACGCTGAGAAGAGGTGGAAAAGAGGAAAAAGAGAATCCACACCTCCCCCAAACCTGCGGGCTCAGCGTTGGGTGGCTCAGTAGCAGCCATCGTCCGAGCCACGATATTCCCTTGCCTGCATCACTAGTGGCCCAAAAACTCTCTTAACTGGGACAAGCCGCAGCTGGCACCTCCGAATCTTCCTCATCCCAGCGTTCCCTGCAGAGAAGCTTAACCGGTCTTAGAGGCACACTCTCTATCACCAGCCTTTTTATTTCTCTTCCATCTTCCCACTCGCACCCAGTTCTTATTGTCACTCACTGTTCACTACTGCATCTAGAACGAACCTACCTCTCGTTTGGTTCGTCCATTTGCTTTCCTGCCATTCCATTGACAGCGATGATCGGCCTGCGCAAAGCCTTCGTTTTCAGCACGTTGCTGCTGGGCACCTTGAGTTCGCCCGCACATGTTCCAGAAGATGATCATGCATTAATCAACTGGGAGGCATTCCAATCGTTACTCGACACCGTTGACCCTGCTGCCCTGCATTCCGTCCTCCACTCGCTCTCCCCAAAATTCCAAGACGGTGTCTTCAGCAAGGACCGCGCAGCCATTGAGCACGTCCATTCCGAGAATCCCATCATTGCAAGCAAACTAGTCCACCTCGCAAAGAAGAGACAGGACAGCAACTCGACGACCACAGCCACGACAACACCCTCCACTGATGCTCAAAGCAGCGTTGCCTCCGAATCGAGCTCTCGGGCAGCCAGCGTCTCTTCCATCCTCTCATCCGCCATCTTTGCATCCACGGTACCCGGAGCCACGACCGTGACGGTGCCTCCAACGACTCCACCCTCTGCCACACCAGTCGAAACTTCTGGTGATGCTGTGGTCTTCAGCACATTCGGGGGCGGCCTGGTAACGCTCACATCCTCTGCTTTGAGCGTCCACTTCACCCCCAGTACCTCCACCCAGCTCTTCTACGCAACTGCCGGTGACGGGTCTGTTCAGACATCGACGTCAGTGGTGGTGGTCAATGCGCCGGTAACGGATAGCGGCGATGCCACCGGTGCCGCCGGTGCCGCGACAACCACGGGAAGCCCGGGACTGCAGAACGGTGGTGTATCGATAAAGATGGGAGGTCTCGCCTCTATATTTGCTGGTCTGGGAGGATTGCTCTTCCTTGCGCTATAGGAAGTGTAGAGGTGGACACTGGTTCAAAAGCAATTGCCGCCAATTGGGTTTCTGGCGGCTGACGTGATTTTTGTGGGATTTTCAGCGGACATAACGACGATACGGCACCGGCATTTCTCTCCTTTGATCAGCAATCTGCAACGGGCATAGCTTTGGGCGTTCAAGCACTTCTTCGTAGAAGTTGGCTTCTTTTGATGCTCAATTTGGAGGGTAAGGCAATATACGTGTACATGAAAGGGATATGGGTAACCAAGGAGGATGAAAGGACTTGATGAAGTCGAAGGACCGTGGAGGCTGCTGCAACGGGGGCAAATCAGTGCCCGTCGAGAGAGTGCCCAGATGTATAGGGACATATAATCAGATTGCAAGCTGTCACCAAGACATTGGCTTCCAGTCGACGACGTAATCCAACTCCAAGTTCTTCACAACTTCTCCCTCAAATCGGTGGTAATTGAGCTCACCACGCCGACGCCACGCCCACTTCTTGATCTCTGGTATACCACATTGCTACCATTAGGTGTTGGCATCGGAGAAAATTCTTGGCACAAAGGGAGGCTGAAACGCTTGGTGGTGCCGTGCAAGGCAATCCTCCATGCCCAGAGCACCACTTGGAGTGACGATTCAAAAGGCTTGACCCAAGACTAGACAAAGAGACAAGAACATCTATCCTTCTACCTACACACCAACGGCCCTTCCCTAAAATATATACTTGGTCAGAGCCCCTAAAGTTCTGTGGGTGTTGTTTGATTAACGGATATTGAAGTGGTCCTTATCCTCGACACAAAAGACACCTGCAGCAACTCTTTTGTTCCTAGAGTAATGTACGCATACCAGGCACCCATGCCAATCATTTCATCGGCGTCGAATGACATAGGAGGGATTGACGATCTCGAGAATCAAGAACATGGACCGAAGAGAAGCGGATCGTTGACTCAAGCGCATTCTGAGACAGATCTGGAGGCCCAGGAAGCCCGTCTTGAAACAAGCCCCGGGCCATGAATGTGGCAGTGCTCGAGCGTGCAATAAAATAATCTGGGGCACTGGAAATTTGCTACATACGCAACCCGACTCTTGTTCGGCAGCATTTCATAGCATTGACCATGTTGTCTACGCGGCTTTCTCCAGTGCCTTTGTGCTTGATCGTCAAGCGACAACCCTCGGCGCACGATCCAAGATGTCCATCACCGCTTTTGTAGAGGTTGGAAGCGGGATTACACGACCAGGCTCAAGGCTCATGTCGTTGGCAGGCCGTGGCAAGCTTGACAAACCCCTTGTGCGCAATTCGAAACATGTGCCAATCGTGCCCCATAGCGAGACGCAAGTGGGCAGATCCAAGAAACTTCATCTGCAAGTCGTTTGCGAGTGGATAGGGAGAAGGGTAGGGGGAAAGACATGTGAGTGGCTGAGGCTGGAGGGTGGCGGCTCTAATGAGGTTGAGAGGGTCTCTAACTGGCCCTTAGCATCGCCCCTAACGCACATCCAGTGAACATCTAACAGGGGCTGGTGGCCATCAATGGGAATGCCCCCCGCCGAGAGCATGGACGCGACAGGGGCAGCCGGACAATTCATCAACTCAATTGAACAATCCAATTGCCCGCGTCGATTGATCCCTGCCTCGAAATATCCGGCCTCTTCAACAACTGCGATCTTGCATCTTTTTTCCTCCCTTCTCTATCCTTCAACCTCTTCACCTCCCACCCCTTCTTTTATCACAAAAAGCAAGAGCCGTCACCACTTCGTTTGGGTGTCGTCGCTCCTCCTTCGCTACCTTCTACTCTCTTCTAATATCAGGTGTCTTCTGTTGGGAAATTCCTCACTCTCTTGGATCCCAACTCCCGTTAACTTTTCTTCACCCCCTCGCTTCGGTTGATTTCCTCTCGGACACGGACCTGAAACAGATCACTTGCTTCCAATCATGCGTACTTCGACTTTGGCCACCCTCGCTTTGGGCGCTGGTGCTGCATCTGCGGCTTCTGTCAAAAGACAAAGCAGCTTGCAGCCAGTCTCCGTCAAAGGAAATGGTACGTGCTCGCGTGTCTCCTTGCTCTTTTGCTATCACTGACCGTTCTAAAGCTTTCTTTGCTGGTGACGAACGATTTTACATTCGTGGTGTCGACTATCAACCTGGTGGCTCCTCGGATGTGGCAGACCCCATTGCCGATGAAGAGGGCTGCAAGAGAGACCTCGAGGAATTCAAAAAGTTGGGCATCAATGCTATCCGGGTATACACGGTTGACAATAGCGCATCTCATGACGCATGCATGAATGCCTTGGCAGATGCTGGCATCTACCTCATCTTGGACGTCAATACCCCCAAGTATTCGTTGAACCGAGCCGACCCTGGTCCATCCTACAACGATGTATATCTTCAGAACATCTTTGCCACGATTGACATCTTCCATGCCTACGACAACACGTTGGCTTTCTTCTCTGGCAACGAGGTCATCAATGACCCTGAGACTTCCGCAGCTGCGCCGTATGTCAAGGCCGTCACTCGGGATATCAGACAATATATCCGAAGCCAAGGCTACCGAACCATTCCTGTGGGATACTCTGCCGCCGATGTGGCCGAGAACCGTCTGGAAATGGCCGAGTACATGAACTGTGGTACAGACGACGAGCGTTCAGACTTCTTCGCCTTCAACGACTATTCCTGGTGCGATCCTTCCTCCTTCACCGTCTCTGGCTGGGACCAAAAGGTCAAGAACTTTACGGGCTATGGTATCCCCATCTTTCTCTCCGAGTATGGTTGCAACATCAACACTCGTGAGTTTAACGAAGTCGAGGCACTTTACAGTGACAAAATGACCCCTGTCTATTCTGGAGGCTTGGTCTATGAGTACTCGCAAGAGCCCAGCAACTATGGCCTCGTTGAAATTGATGGCAACTCGATCTCTGAATTGCCTGATTTCGGAACCCTTCAAAAACAATTCGCAAACACCCCCAACCCTCAGGGTGATGGCGGCTATAACTCGACCGGCGGTGCATCTGGCTGCCCTTCTTACTCGTCCCCCAACTGGCTTGTCAAGGATAACTCTCTCCCTGCAATTCCTGACGGTGCGAAGAAGTACATGACTGCGGGTGCCGGTCCAGGACCTGGTCTCTCCGGCCCTGGCTCCCAGAATGCAGGTGGTGCTTCTACTGGAACCGCCACCGCAGGCAGCGGATCCCCGAGTCAAACCGGCGGCTCATCCTCTAGCGGAACCAGCAACGCAGCTGCTTCCGTCATGGATGCCAAGATGTCCGTTGCTCCTCTGGTCTGCGGTGCTGTCGTGGCCATGTTTACGCTGTTTGGTGCTACTTTGTTGTAAATCTGCCCTTTGAACGAGTACTGTTGGATTTTGCGGGGGAGGAGAAACGCAAACAGAGTCAGCCGTCTAAAGAGATGGGTAGTGAAAATGGATTGGCCTCTCTTTTGCATGTAAACATTGGGCGGATTGTGACGGACTGGTTCGGCGTATCAAACAAGCCTTGAATATGAGATTGGTATATCCATGCAATAGAGTTGCGGGGTCTTTGAGAACAGATACAGATGAAACAGCAAGATTAATTAACCAAGAATCACTCTTGTATCCGCTCCTTTTGCGCAATGGTCGTCTGCAACATCGTCTTGCCTTTCTGGACGTCCCAAGGACCATCGTACCATATGTCGACGCCGCCCTTGACCACCAACTTGCCCTCGTCGGTGAAGTTGACCCCCTCGTCCTTGAGCAACTTTAGTTTCATGGTCTGGTTGACTCCCGAGGGTGCCTTTTCCCAGTCGCCCTTGAACCCTCCCACGTAGCCATCACTCGCGATGACGCGGTGGCAAGGCACTTCTGGCGCGTAAGGGTTGTTTCGAAGAGCTCCGCCCACGGCGCGTGGGCTGGAGTTCAGGGAGCGCGCGAGCGCCGCGTACGTGGTCACACGGCCCGGGGGGATGAGCACGAGGTGCGTGTAGACTTTCTTTTGGGAGTCAGCACATGTGAGGAGAATCCTTGGATGCTAGAAAGCGAACCGAGAAGGGGGGATGGAACTCACCTCTTGGAATTCAGTGATGGCCATTCTCACGTTGTTTCGTGAACGGGGGTTTGAACAATGGTTCTGATTCTGATTCTCTCGGTTTGGGTATACGCTTTGAGGGGTTGGATGGCTGGAAGTATACTCGTATGTTTTGTTACCGAGAGCGCCGGGGGGGCTAGCTAGCTTTATACCGACATATCTCTCCTCACCGCAACGTAGCTGAGATGATGGACAAGGGGGCAGGAGATTTGACTCATCATTGTCAAAGAGGCTGAGCGACTACATATCAAGCAATAGTAGATGTTCGAGGACTCTGTGAAGGCCTGGCTTATGGACTTTGTCGGTTTGTGATTGGTCATATTCAGAGCAACGACTAACCTGCGCGTATCAATCAGGGTGAACAAAGTAAGCCACTTTAGTGGAGAGTAATAACTCGGTAAATTCGCGGTAAGGGCGCGATGTCACGTGCCTATAAGCAAGGGTTGATCCGCAGTAGATTCTGCGGTATCACACTAGATACTTCACCCCATGCTAGTTCGCAGCTTCTCCTCCAGATCAATCGTGGGTCAAAAGAGCTCGGTGCTGCCCATCCAAAGCCCCCGATCCCCTATCGTCTGTGAGGTCTCGCCATTCCAAGATGGCGGTCATAGAAACGGTCAAAGAGGCCATCGGTCTCGGAGATGATACTGGTACGCTTCCCTTGGCTTCAACTCCCCTCGTCCTCGAGCAACTCGGAAGAATCAAAGCTAATGTCAGCCCCGATGTCCCTGCTCCAACTCCAGCGTCCAGACAAACAATGTCCGAAGCCAGACTTCCCCTCGCCTACCGAGACAGCTGTGCGAACCTCCTGATACCTCTCAATAAATGCCGGCACCAGACGTGGTACATGCCCTGGAAGTGCGAGGTGGGTTTTTCTTGTCAACTGTTATGTCCAATCCCGAGACATGAAAAATGATCCTTCTTCAAGCGGCGGTATATGCTAACTGGCGATTCTACTTTTGTTTTTGGGCGGCCAACAGAACGAGCGACACAGCTATGAGAAATGCCAGTACGAGGAGTTCAAGAAGAGGGTCGCGAAGATGGACGAGATGCGGGCGGCCAAGGCGGCTGCTGCTGCTGCGGCGGATAAATAGATGGATTGATGCGAGGCGCAATAAAAAAACGTGAGGATTTTGAGAGTTTGACATGCACCAGGCCCTCGGTTGTATATATGGGACAAGAGTTCACGGGTGATGGTACTTTCGAAGGCGCCTGCAAGGAAGGGACAATTCACACAATCAGTCACAGCCGAGATAGAGTCTCCCCAAACTGTGGGTATGGGAGGGACATCTTTGTCGAGCTATGGCAGGTACAGCTAGTATGAGAACAATTCACCCTGGCAGAGGGGAGACAGCTTGAACCTCAAGGCAAGGCTGGATCGCAGCTGTACGTCGTAGATGGTGACCATTTTGAAGTGTACGCATCACGTGATCACGATGGCATTTCCAATTCCTTTACCCACCGGTCTTCGCATCGCGATATATTTCTTGATATGGTGAAATAACATGCGCCTGCAATCCAAACACCCCCACGTTGTATCCTACCATGTGCATGTGCATCATTTGGCCTAGGCGATACGAAGTCGACGTGTGACCGCTGACGGTGCTCGCAGGACTGCTCTCAGCCATGCCGCCCATGTCGCTCTTGTCGCAGGCTCTTCCGCGGATATCACCGGCGCCCAGCGGCCTCTGAAGGAGAGATTCCATTCTAAGCACTCGATCTTTTTCCATCCCATGTCTTCCCCCAATTCCGAATGCAATCAGCCCAATAGACAGGCTGATGATGACTAATTGGAAATCTTTCCAGGACCCTTGGACCGGCTCTCGGTACGACATCGTTTCTCGACCCTCGTCTCGACATCCCACTCTCAAAGTGCGCGAGACGGCCTGCTTCCTCTGTTGACTACCAGTGCCGCGCGAGATCTTCCGCCTTACGACCTTTGTCAACAGGACGCACCGTTTCTCATTTGCCGTTGGCGCCCGTTTCTTCTCCATCCTAATATAGCGGTTATTCTGTCGACGGTACAAACCCCACGGGTCGAGGCTCTCACTTTTCACACCCACCGAGTACCTAGTCAAAGTTCCTCGTCCCCTCTCCCTCCCACACGGCGGCTGTTTCCGCCCGAAGTCTGCCGTCTAGTGAGACAAAAAAAAAATCGCATAAGAAAACGTCACAACCAGTCCAAGGGGGTTTTGGCCCATTCGTTTTTGTATTTCGGCAATTTCGGGGCTTTCTTTCCATTATCAAAAAAAGAGACAATCATCTATCACTCACATTCCACTGGACAACGCAGAAACGGTCGACAAGTCAGTCCCACGATAGCCTTTCGTCCCTTTTTCTATTGAGACGTACATACGCCATGTGTTCCCCCTAGATGGCTTCAGCATTGGCACCCTCGTTCAGGCTCGTCACCAAGTCGGAACCTTTTGGTTGATCGTTCCCGTCATTCTAAATTATCTTTTTTCTTCGACCATTTCTGGCCCTCTCTGGCGGTCATTGCGGCGAAATTTCCAAAAGTAGCCATTCTTACGGTTGAAGAAATTATACTTGACTATCTCTTTTTTTCAATATGGGTCTTTTGTAGGTACCAAAGAACCTTATACCAAATCTCTTCCTCCTTCAGGCCCGATCTTTTATTTACCAGGATCTAGAGCGTTAGGGACGGCCTTGGATTGGCCAGATGCGAAAAAGGCCGCGAATCAGGTTCGGGAATGGGGTATCGAGGTAAGAGAGGCGGAATGCGCTTTCACGACGATCTACTTCTATCCTACTGATACACATCCAAGCAATTGCTCGCAATATGGCGCAAGGCCAAGGGTAAAGAGCGTGATGCCCTTCTTTGGGGGGACGAGGTATGCTTTTCCCCCTCTTCGGCCGGTTATCCGTCCGTATTACTAAACTGTCCCGCCGTGCCGTCCAGGTCGAGTACCTCGTTGTCGCGATCGATGAAGAACATCAAAAGGTTCGGTTGTCGCTGTGCCAGGCCGATGTTCTTAAATCTTTAGCGGGAGACGAGACGTTGTTGAAGAAAGATGTCGTCGTCCCTGATTTACAAGATGGTGTCGCGTGAGTACTTCGCCATCCGTGGTTGTCCACCGCCTGTCGTGCATCACTGATCGCTGTACCAGTCGAAGCGGTGCCCTTCCGACATTCCATCCCGAGTTCGGTCGCTTTATGCTCGAAGCTACCCCAGGGAAACCATGGGGTATCGATTTCAAGGATTTGCTCGACGTTGAGCCGGACATGAGGCTTCGGCGCGAAATCGCCAAAAACCACATGGACGCTGATGAATTCCCGATCACCTTAACGACCTTTCCACGTCTCGGACTGCCCGACTCTATCAAGCCGGATTACCCTCCCTCCGGCCCTGCCCTTCGATCACAATTCGTCCCGGACGAGATTGCTAACCCTCACATTCGCTTCCCAACGTTGGCTGCCAACATTCGATCAAGAAGGGGCAGAAAAGTGGAACTCAACGTTCCCGTTTTCAAGGATAAGAATACCCCGTCTCCCTTCAGCGACCCAACGGTCAACTATGACCTGCACAAATGGCCCGAAGACGACGACGTCCGTAACGGCGCTGTCAAGCCTAACTGTGTCTACATGGATGCCATGGCTTTTGGTATGGGCAGCTGCTGCTTACAGATTACGTTTCAAGCCAAGAATATCCGTGAAGGACGCACCCTTTACGACCAGCTTTCTCCGCTGGGTCCAATCATGTTGGCGCTGACTGCCGCCACGCCGATATACAAAGGTTTCCTGGTGGACACGGATGTTCGGTGGAATCAAATCTCCCGTGCAGTCGACGACCGCACCGCAGAAGAACTCGGCGAAGTACCCCTAAAAAATGATCGGTGGCGGATACCGAAATCCCGATATGCCAGCAATAGCACATACATCGCGCAGGATCCCCGTCTACGGCCTGAATACATGGACCCTGACTTGGTCATCAACGAAGAACTTAAACAGAAACTCCTGGATGGCGGAATGGACGACCTTCTTGCCACGCATTTTGCGCACCTCTTCATCCGCGACCCTATTGTAATTTTCTCCGAAGATTTGAAGCAGCTTGACCCGGAAGGCTCGAACCATTTCGAGAACATCCAGAGCACGAACTGGCAGCACATGCGGTTCAAACCGCCACCGCCAGATGCGGATATTGGCTGGCGTGTGGAATTCCGGAGCATGGAGATTCAGATCACAGATTTTGAGAATGCAGCTTTTGCCATATTCATCGTCCTTGTCACCCGTGCTATTCTAAGCTTCGACCTCAACTTGTACATCCCGATTGCTCGAGTGACGGAGAATATGGAGACGGCGCACCTGCGGGATGCGGTCATGAAGGAGAAATTCTGGTTCCGAAAGGATCCATTTCCCAAGAAGAGCCCGAGGCAGTCGCCGGTGTTGAACGGGATCAGCGAGCCCGCGTCAAGCGGGGAATCAACGCCTTCACAGCTGCAGCAGGATCTGACACACCTGTCAGGCCATACGCCAGCCTCGGCAGAGACCATCAAGTCATCATTTGGCCCTGTCGAGGACGAGTATACGCTCATGACGATCAACGAGGTCATTAACGGTGGCGGCGGTGCGTGTGACGGGTTTCCTGGACTGATCCCTCTGGTTGAGTCCTATTTGGACAGCGTCAACATCGACGTCGACACGCGCTGCCACCTGGCCGTGTATCTGGATTTGATCCGCAAGCGAGCCAACGGAACGCTGTGGACGGCCGCCAAATGGATTCGCGAATTCACCCGCAGCCACCCAGCGTACAAGGGTGACAGCGCCGTCGACGAGAAGATTGTCTACGACCTGTTTGCGGCGGTGCGCGACATTGAAGAGAGCCAGGAGATGGGCAACCGGCGGAAGAAGGGTCGGGGGAAGTTTGCCACTGGCTGGGAGATGTTGTCTGCGAAAGAGCGGGCCAAAGGGTTGGACGATTGATTGATTGACGTGTTGACGACGATGGCATTCACATACATTGGCGCCTATGGTTGCGTTTTACGAGGAGACGTATATCGACTGATGTTCATTGATGACGATGAGGGTGAGTGCGGTGGTGATGGTGATGGTGATTATGATTGATATGGAGGTCATTTACTCCGTCATTGTCCGTGGACATGAACCATCGCATATAGTTGCATTAGTAGTCAGTTATACGTTTTATAGAGAGAGAGAGAGAGAGGCCAATGATTGACGCACAGGTTTTCACGATTTGGATGATATTCTCTGGTCTAAAGGAGGTTTCTGACCTGTGTTACACCCACGCAGGCGATTTCATGGTATCATCATGAGTACGTGTATGTAGGTGCATGGTGTCGACACCTCTCTATTACGACGGTATACACTCACACATCTACTGTACGAGTAAGTGCAATATATCCCATACCGACATCATACATACTACCGGGGCATCCTTCCTATATAGTGCCGAGGCATCTCTCTCATCCGAATCAAGACCCGGTTGTCTCTACTCTCGGATTTCACAATGCCCACCACGCTGGGCCACGCTCAAGACCTAGGTGATTTGTCCGACGAGCCTTCGTCGCCGTTTCCCCTCTACCACGACATCGCCCTCGGTCGCATCCGTAGCGGGGACAGGCTTGATCCGACACAGGAGGTAATATACCGCGAAGGCGACCAGGGAGCCGACGAGGAAGTTGACTCGGTAGATATACGTCGTTCCGTTGGGGACCTTTTTCTCCGGAGAGAAGAAGGAAGAGGGAGGTAAGTTGGGGTTGGCTCTCGTGTTTCAATGTTCGGGAATGGGGAAGGGGATGCGAAGGAGAGTATTGATGGTGGTGGTGCTGGATGGGTCGGAAGCAAAGTAGACAAGCGACGACGAATGGACTGGAAGATGGAAGGTATAGATGGATAAGTGTTCAAACGTACCTGGGCCCCAACCGCGCCGGCAAAGCCAACGATATTCACGAGCACACCACATATATACGAGGTATATGCCCGCCACGACATGCCGCAGTGGTAGTAGTATGGCGATGCACGTCGAGCCGAGTAGAGATCTCGCACGCAATAATAACCTCGGCGCACGACGTAGTAGTCGCAGATGATGACGGCCGCAATCGACGACAGGAAGACGCTGTAGGCTGAGAGATATGTCGTGAAATTGTTCGACGACTTCAACAAGTTCCACGGACTGCTCTGCCGTTAGTACCTCTTGAGGAAGTGTCTTGGGTCGAAGAATGGTGGGCTAGGAAATAATGTTTCGACTTCAGGAGAGAGTCGGGTCTTACCACAAGCACAGTCCAACAAGGGCGCAGATGTAGCCTCCTCGGCGGATGTCGAGGTATCGGGGTAGCAGGGCCGCCATGTCCGTACCCGCTGAGACACTGTTCGCTGCAATGTTGGTTCCGAGCTGGGCAAGCGCAAAAGCCAGCGCAATGACAAAGACGCCGACTCTCTCGGCCGATGTTGCTTCGTCTAGGAGGAATTGAGAGAGAAGGTCCAGGGGATTCCAGATGGCTGTGCCGTAAATGACCTTGGACGAGGAGGACACCACGATTCCCACGAAAGAGGTCACAACGAACCCGACAGGGATGGTGAAAAGCTGCGTCCAAAGAGCATCGCGTGGCTTGCTGGCGAAACGCGAGAAGTCGGGATTGTTGACAATCAGAGTCGCAAAGTTGCCAATCGAACTCATAATGCCAGTCACCCACCCCCACGCAAGCGCAGAACCTGTCGCCGTCGCCGGCTCCTTTATTATCGGACCCATGCCACGTGCACGGCTGATTGCCCATGTAAAGAGGGACAGTCCAGCCACCAGGACGATGTAAGACTTGACCATGAAGAGGTAGCGAATCTTGTGGACGGGAAACCAGATGGCAGGGAGAGATGCGACCCAGAAAATGAAGAAGCTCACAAAGTCCCTCGTGTTGGTGCCTGAATTGGGGATGCCGTTGTGCAGTGTGTAGAAGGAGGGCCAGATGGACCGAATCATCAAAGTGATGCACTGACCACCAATCCACGCTTGCACGCCGTACCAGACACAAGCCATGGCCGCTCGATTGAAGACTGGCCAGAACGATCCCCAGATGCCAAATGACGCACGACAAACGACAGGGAAAGAGATGTGGTAGGTGGCGCCTATTCGCCCGGTCAGGCAGACCAATACAGCAGAGATCGAGTAGCCAATCAAGATACAAATCAATGCGTGCCACCACGCGAGGCCGGAGGTGAGCATAGTGGAGGCAATCATCCAGGTGTTGATGTTGAACGAATCGGCAATCCAAAAGGCTGGCCGCATGATTAGTGAGACGTACATGACCGCCTACGAGATTCCATACCGACAAAACTCCACGCCGTCCACTGGCGTCGCTGGGGTTCCACCGGCTTCAAGTCATGGTTGGTGAGCATCAGTTGAGCATTTGAGAGGCCAGGCTCGGATTCCATCTGCACCCTCGTGAGGAGACGAGCAGCCCAGGACTTCTTCACCCCAGGTATGATCGTTCTTGTAGCTGGAGTCTCGACAAGATCATTTGTCTGTGAGAGCAACGGTGCGGCGGCGTCCCAGCGCGAGGGCCCCTCAGAGGAGAAGGGCGCAAACTCGTCGAGCTCGATATCAGCATGTCGGGGCGAAGGGGAGCGCATTCTGAAGATCTATGGGGAGTGCTGTGTGAGAAAGCCGTGCAGTCTGTGCCAGTTGCCGTCCTCAAACAGACACACGAACTAGTTCGTCATGTCTGACTCTGGTTCGTCCTCCTATGGCATCGCCCGAGAGGTTGAGCGTACTGGTGCTGCAAGAAACCGTGTGGCCATAATAGTCGTCACTGTCTAACCAAGGCGCAGTTTCAGGTAGAGGAGTTGTCCTGATAGGCGACACTTCAAGCCCATGACAAACCATAGACACCTTTTCTCTGAAAGACCCCCCGATCCTCGTAAGTAGAGCGGCAAAAGAACCTGACCGAAGAATCGAGCGATGCGAACGAGCAGAGCTGTAGACTTTGAAATGGAGGAGTGCTACGAGGTCCAACTGCAAACACTGCAAATGTGCCAAACATCCGAAACTTGCAAACAAACCGAAACACACAAAAACAAGCAAGCACCGCTAAGTCGTGGGCAAGGCTGACGACCCCTGGATACTCTCGTATGTGCACACGCGTACCGATCGATCAGGGAGGCATTGCAGCTGTTATTGTATAGCATAGCCTGTAACGTAAATCCCCATTAGGACCGCTAGATTCAGTTCGTTTCTTATATCGTCTCTATTGCTACGTCCAGCTGCATCGTAGTCGTGTTGATATAGCAAGAAGACAAAGGAACTGTCTAACTCGGGTATCTGCGTGCAGGAGTCGTCATGTTCCATGACCGGAACCCGAGAGCGTGAAGAAATCATCTCAATTACATTTCGGATTTATCGTTCTTTGGCGGATAGATGCCCGAGTTAGGTGAACGTGCAGATTCAACTTCGTCGAAACATTATAATTTTGGTGATGACTGCCTGAGATACACTGTCATTCACATCTGAACCAAATCGATGCGCAAACTTTGAAAGCAACAATCGAGCAGTGATGATAAAACCGACGAACATGGTGGATCCCTAGCTTTTAAACCCTCAACCAGCTGACCTGCGGTAGGTGTATCTCTTCAAAATTGCGTCGCTCATGTGGAGTAAATGCGAATAAGCAACAAAAGCGCTCAGAAGATATCTGTGCAAATGGTCGTTCCAGGAAGTAACGCAGACCGAGTCCTGGAGAAACGCCGAACAGCCAACTGAGTGACCAAGTACACTCGCGGTTACCATTAGAGAAAAAGGAAAGCCGAGAGACTTGGCTCTAGGGCTCTCACCCAAGCTTCCGACAAATGCGTGATTCCCCTGTCCGTACCCAAGGCACCAGGGTGAATATCCATCCCGCAAAGGGCTCTAGTCTGTCAAAAGAACCGATTGGCCAGAGATCGAGCCGCTTGGCGCAGAGCAACGATTGCGCTTTAAATGAGCGTATTGTATCCTTACGGGGTTTCTGGCCCGACAGGTGTAGAGTCGCCAAAGTTCTAATAGAGTCAGCTCGTCATGGGAAATGCAATGGTGGATGGAACACATACGCTAGGAGCCAGGGGAAATAGCTTTTCCGTTCTGTCCCCATTGCATCTGACATACTGACCCTGGGTAGCCTCATACTGATAGAGATCTATCAAACGTGCAAATGATGATGAGCGTCAATAATCTTCGAACGTAATGACGTCGCCCAGGAAACGATAATGCAGAACCCGAGACAGCTGGTGAGTGGAATTGCGAAGAGAGCTTAGTGCAAGTTGTAGAAAGTTGTGCATTGATGGGTTTCAAGATCCGCCATGGTTGAAATAGGAGTTACCACATGACCCTTAACAGCCTTTTAGTCTGTTGCCAAATTGCCAAAACTTCTGCTTTAGATAAAGAAGAGGAGCGTGATGCTGGACATATTGTATATCGAGGGCTGAAATGAGGATCATTCCATCAACCACACAACATGCGCAAGAGTTTGTTGATGAGTCGAGCCAGCAGTCCCCCACCATGCTTCTCTTCCCCACCATATTGTGGTTGCTGTTGTTGTTGTTGAGCGTGTTGAGGTTGCCAAGCTTGCTGCTGCTGACCTGGATACGTCTGGTAGCCCTGCCAATCGCTCACATGTTGCATGTCCACAGGACTGCCATCCAGCTTGATGTATATCCTGCCATCGTTGGACTCGGTGTGATATTGCAAGCCGAGATCCCGGCACGTCTGTTCGACTCGAGGCTTGATTTTTTGGACGTGATCGCGGGAATGGTTCCCCCGCCCGACCACGACGTGGAGATGTGTCTGGCCGTGACTCTGGGCATAGCGGATCCTCTGTTCCAAGATCTCTTCCGCCTCTTCGACAAACAGCCCGTGCAAGTCGATCGTGTCGGCGGCGACTCGTCCATCGGCGTTGTTTTCGCGAAAGATGAAGTCGGCCGCCTGTTTATTGTACATCTCCATTTTGGCGCCGTGCTCCTTGCCCTCTTGCGAGAGCGCATGCGCAGCCGCGCCGTCGCCATTCGCATATGCTTCTTGGGATCGCTGGAAGCACGTGGAACGTTTGGAGGCCTCCTGACGTGCGAGATTTCGTAGCCGGTCGTACTCTGCTTCGGCAGCTTGGGATTGACTATGATTGAACGCTACGCGACCACATCGTGTCAGCCAGCAACTCAGCTTTGACGCATAGGCCTATAGCGACAGCCAGTCAAGCAGGGGATCACATACGCTTGGCTCCTACCCGGGTAGCATGCTGTGTTGACATTTCATACGACATCTTCTGGGCAATTGCGGTTTATTCAACCACCTAAGATTGATGATGTACAGGTGAGAGGCGTGTACCGCGCAGGTAGAGTTGGTCAAGAGACAGAAAAAAACGACAGGCGGAAGTATGTGCGACCCTAAAACCGCACAAGGCTTGCAGCAGCGATGCCAATGGGGGAGATCTGATCTTTCACGATGCGCTCGGTTCGCTTACAGACGCGAATCGCTGAAGCGACGATGAGAATCGCGGAGTCGGAGAAACCAAAAACGGCGGGAGGCTTAGTCATCGTTGCTTAGTCATTTGGAAGACCCGGTTTGGCAATTGTCTACCAAGTGTGAGAAGAGGCAGTATCGGATACTCAGTACAAATAGGAAGAAACCAGCCCAACGACTTATTTGATATTATGTTGCTTCCCTCGTGGATCTCGGTCCGATAAAAGCGCCTCATATCTTTTGAGATCTGTCGTCAACAAGCCCCCAACTTGCTCTCGTAGCAATTGGCCAATTCGCGTAGAATATATCCCATCCGGGGTGTCAAACCCCATACCCAGGTATCATCGTAGAAGCCGGCCCAGTAGCGTGCCAGCTTGGCTGCCAGTGAGGGTCCGGCTCCATTGTCCAGAACATCCTCCAAGTCCAACAGCAGATTTCTGATGGATTGCATCGTCTGAGTCTCGAGCTCGCTGATCGATGCAGAGTCACGACTTGATCGTATCTCAACTTCGATTGCATGCACCCATTTCGTGACCAACAGCGCTGTGCCAGGAGTCAGTTCTGTGATAGAGAAGTAGGCCAGTCGTTTGTTGTATGGACTTACCTGCCTCCCACCCTGCTAACGCGTGCCCGATCGCCCACGTCAAGGCGGCCGTCTTCTTGATCAGCAGGGTTCCCGCCTTGTACGGTATCAGCATTCCTTCGAATGCCCGACCGACAGCTCTTGCCACGAGGTTGCCTCGATTCTGCGGTAGCGCGATAAAGTCCTCAATTGAAATCATAAATTCTTCCTGGCTTTCCTTGAGCAACACCATTGAATCGGCCGCGCTATGCCCTGTGAATGCCCGGCAATAGCTGACCCGCAACAGCGCCAGACAATTGAACAACAAAGGGGTTTCGGCTTCCGTCCACGGATAGTCGGCATCGGAGCTGGCTTGGGTGATCAGGGCCCGGCACCTCGAAAGCGCGGCCTCTGTTTGGGCGAGAGTCTGGGATTTCTGGGATTCATTGGACGGTCCAGGACTAGAGAAGTCGCCGAAAAAGTAGGATCCTTGGGTGATATGCCAGATGTGAATGGAAATAACGTTTATCACCACGCTGATCGCAAAGGGTGACCACTCCCAGCACTCTTGCGGCACCGTCTTGACTGAATTCCCGTTCATGACCATCGACACTGCCTCTCTGACATTGAGTCGTGAGCTCTGGCCTTTTCGCATTGCCGCTTCGTGCCACTGTTCTTCAGTGAGTGCATCCCACAGGGACTGGTCGCAGGGCATTTCGATGAAACCATCAGAAACCAACGAATATCCGGGGGGAATCCCGTAAGTCATGGTGACCAAATTGCCAAACATTATCTGACCGTACAATAGCCTATACATTGTGTTAGTGGGGGATTGTAATCCTCGAGCTCCCTCCCGCTTACCTTTTAACACTCTCCCTTTCGACCCATTCCTGCCAGCTCAGCCACCTATCTGTGCTTTTGCGCGGTTTTACGGTAGGAGCCAAGTCACGAAAATCCTAAGGAGTCATCAGAACGGTGCACCTCCAACTAACTCGATATGCTTACCACGAGGAAGTCGCCGAGACGAATAATAGCCTTCGAAATGACTTCCGGGTCGCCGCTGAAGCAGCTGAGCATTGCAAGCAGCAACCGAGTTTGACTCCTCCACAATGATTCCGGCGTCGATTTCGGTGATTGAGATTGTGGCTGAACCCAATCTTCCAGCAACCGTGGCTTCTTGTCGAGATGTTCACCCCGGTCATCAACTGCGGCAGCGAGGGCTTGGTCTGCTTTCAAATACAATGAAGCCGCAATCTTTCTTTCTAATCGATAAAGAGCGCCAACTGCACATATAGCAAGAACAAGTGGCGAAGGTGTGGTTTCGAAGTCCATAGTCTGAAGGTGGAAGATGGGCAGGTGAACGTGGAAGGCATCGACGTAGGTTCGAATGCATTTTTGGAGTGCGGCTGCGCTGGGCAGTCGTAAGTTGTTCAATTTTTCGGCAGGGAGTCTACTCGACAGATCCTTTAGGAGATGAATTCGCATTGCTTCTGAAAAACTAAGTGTTGGAGGTCTCGGGTACTTCGTCTGTGGAATTTGATAGCCCGAATAGCCCTCGGAATCGGGACGATTCATGGTGAA